AATTTTATTAATTTTGAAAATAATTGAATTTTTACAATTTTGTAACTTTTCAAAAAAAAATTCAATTTTTTTAAGTGTTCTTAACTAAAATTCTTCTATAAATCTAATATCTTAAATAATTAATTAAATATGCATGTATTAAAGAATGTAACTAATTTCAGAAGAATTTGAAATATTAAAATTTTCCAAAAATCTAAGTTCATTAAAATTTCTAATTAAATTCATTTAAAATTGATATTTTGTAAAATTAAAAATTTTGAAAAATTTATATTGCAATTGCTTTAAAATTAATAAAAGTATTGTTAATCTAATTTTATTTACTATTTTGAAAAAGAAAGTTACTTTTTAATTATAAAAAAATCATTAAATAATTAATTAAAAAATTATTCAGTGTAAATAACAAGACATAATAATTCCATTAAAAAACATCGACAAAATCATTAATTTTAAAAGTATTTAGAAAAATACTATACATTTTGTCAATGGTGTCACTATGTTGTTAGGATTCCTTCCCTGTTTAAAACTTTTTCCAATGTTACGAAGCAGATCAATTATTGAAATTTTCAGAAACTCAAAAAAAACACTAAAATAATTTATTATAATTGAAAAATATATTAAAAAATTTTGTATAAATTATAATATTAATATATAATAATAATAGATAATTTATAAATAAAATATAATATTCATAAATATTTTAAAATTCAATTTTTCGCAATTGATCTTATATGCTCGACTCAAAAAGTAAATCAAACAGGGAAGGATAAATAATAATAATAATAATATCCAATAAACTTTCAACTCAAACATGTGTGATAAGTGATTAATGAATTAATTCCTACGTTGTGGTAATGGGTTCCTCCACTTCATCCTGGGCCACCTCCAAAAATTCGATTTAATTCCCACGTTATGATGATGTAACTTCACTACCTCTTCTGAGACATCTCCAAGGATCCTGACTCTTGAATGTACTTCTGAAACAAACCAATGATTTATAATTACTGTTTAAATTTTTTTTTCAAATTTAATTAGTTTAATTAACTTAATTTCATTTAATTAATTAAATTAATTACATTTTTTAAACAAAACATTCAATTTAAAAGAAAAGGATTCTTTTTTGAAAATCGTTTAAAAAATAGCTACGTATGACTTTATGCGTATAATTCAATTTTTGTTTTTGTTACACCAACAGAAGGGTGTAGAAGAAAAAAAACACGCAGTGTATCAGTAAACCGATCTTTGGTTTCCCGCACTCGAAATTGTGCATAAGCTCGACCCCTCCCCTTGTGACAAATTGAGATAAATAATCGTTTTCACGTTACAATAGTCTCTCGAAATTTGTCCCGGTGTCACTTGAAGCGGCACGCTCCCAAAAATTTCTCTGCTATAAGAGACACTTCTCGAAACTATAATACATGATATCTATCCTTTTTCCCGCGATAAATCTCATTCGATACGTGACTCTTTAAATAGATATAAAGCGCATCAAAATTTACAATCATTTTTATTTGTTCAAATTTTCTTTTTCTTTTAATCAAAATTAATTTTGTATTTATTTTATTTACGTTTGCCACAAAAATTTCATTTTTTCCCTAATTTCTAGACAAAATTTTTACTTTTTCCTTGACTCAAAAGAATAGTTCCGATTCCCACTACTATAACTTCTCCAAAATTAATTTTTAAATTTTAACTTAATTATTTTCTGGAATTTGTAAGTAAAATTTTTCTCTGAATCAATTCAAGTTTACGAAATTTCTAACAACTTCAAAACAATTTGGATGAAAATTAAAAAAAAAAAAATAACTTGAATAGAATTTTGAATCAAAATTATTTGAAATTCAAATTTGATAAAATTGTTTAAAAATTCGATTACTTATGAAAATTGTAATCGTAACTTTTATATAATTTAATTATTTTTTCATTTTAAAATTGATAAATTCTCTGAATCAATTATTTTAAATAATAATTTATGAAAATTCAATTATTTAAAGGAAAAATAGAAAGTTTACCTAAAAATGATTTTGAAATCCATTTGTTAATAATTCAATTTTACGAAATTTCAAATTATTCGAAACTTTTCAAATTAAGTATAAATTCAAAAAATCAATAATTTCAAAAGAATATGAATACAAAATTTCTATAAATTAACTGTTTCAGAATTTTCAATTGAAATTATTTGAAATTTCAAATTTCAAATTGAAACCTTTTGAATTCAATTATTTTTAATAATTTTCGAAAAAGTTGCTTTAGAATTTAATTATTCCAAGAAAAAAAAAGAAAGTTCACCTAAAGTAATTCTAAAATCCACTTGTTTCCAAAATTCAATTATTTTTTTAATTTTCAAGTTAAATTATTTGACAAATAATTTAAAAGTTCTTCATGAACGCAGTGTAATGATCGTTCCTCATGAATTAAATTATAAATTCAATTTTATATTCTGTAAAGTTCAATTATTGTCAGAAATAGATAGAATTTAAGCGGTTTTGAATATTAAAATTCGTGAGGACGAATGTTATGTTTATAAAAGAAGCAAAAAAGAAAAAACAATTCAAGAAAAATTAAACCTAGTTAATTTTTTCAAAAACTTCAAAGGACACAAAAAATCTGAATTTTTTTATGAATTCTAAAAATTTAATATTCTTCCAGTACTTTTGTTAAAATTCTCTAACTTTTCTCTGACTATTTTCCTAACCTGTAGCAACACTGTTATTATTTTTTAGTTATTTTATTTATTTATTCTTAATATTTACTATTTAGTAGGTATACTTTGAAATTTACCTCAATTTGACCCAAACTTTTGGTAATGAAAACGAATGATTGAAATAACCATTGCTCTAATTACTGGACCTGGAACAAAAATTTCAAAAAGATTAATTTAACATAATTATAATTGCAGCGAAAAGAATTTAACATATTTTTAAACTTGATTTTTGTTTGATGTGTGCCAGATAATTAATAACAAAATATATTCAATCATTTTAAAATACAATCGATTCAAAATCAATAAAAAATAGCAAATAATTATAATAATTATATTTATTATAAATTATAAAATTATAATAGTTATTATTATTAAATAATAATAATAAAAAAATAGTATCAATAGCTGTAATAATAACAATAATAATAATTATTATTATTATAAGAAAAGTATTGATAATAAAATCAAGAGTAAAAATAACGATAATATTAATAACAAATAAAATAAAATAACAATACGAAATTAATTTCAGCGGAAATTAAGCAATTTTGGGACGATAATAAGATAAGATCGAAATATGTAAATTGAGCGAGGCGCGAGAAGGAATAATCCTTTCGGGATGACAAGAGTGGATTATGAATCCGTGTACGTTCTCATACTCGGTGGAAAAGCTGATCTCAATTATCGGCGGGCGTTTGGCCAATAATAATTCATTTCGTGACTGGAAAGTAAGACCATCAAACCAGCAAAGTTCTAATTCATTGAAAGAGACAAAACTTTATCGGTCTTGTACCAACAACCCCTGCCCCCCGACTATTGTGGTCGTATTAACACCTTGCATAATTGCGAAGCTGCATTTCATTGTAAAGTACTAAACAGAACTCATTTGAATATTGGCCCATTCATATTGCTGCGGGAAGGCTAATATTTGAGCCAAATCTTCAATTCAACCACAAAACATTAATACATATAGATATCATTCGTTTCAATGAACATTAAATATTCTTTCTCAGGCTGTCTCTCTGAATTTGACTTCAACATTTACCAAATTAATATTTCTAACAATATCAAAAAATTATTAGTACTCTTTAATATAATTAATTAAATAATCACTTTAATTACTCAATCACTCCAAATCTACAAATATTGTGAAATTTTATATCGTTTTGTTGTATTTATAAATTTTTTATCAACGATTGAGAGTAAAATCTAAAATTTTAACTGTAATTTATTTTTAAATAAATTTTTATTAGAAAATTCTACGATAATTCAATTATTTAAATACAAAAATAAATAATTTATTGAATAATTGAATGTTTCTCAAAATTTAATTCAATTTTATCAACAGATTTTGTAAATAATTGAATTCTTTCGACGAATTTTAATAAAATTTTTATGAATAAATACATTTTTCGACGATCTTGATTAAAATTCCGTTTTAAATAATTGAATTCCTGGGAATTTTTTTTTAAATAATTGAGTTCTTTTGGGAAATTTTATAGAAATAATTTAATTAAGAAGTAAATGAAATTTTGCCAAAAATGTTATTAAATTTTTTTAAAATAATCCAATTTCGGAGAAGAATTTTTCTATTTATGAAAATAATTGAAATTTCGACAAGGATTTTTTAAAATTTTTTGAAAATAATTGAATTTTGGCAAAGTAATAATAATTACTTTTGAAAATAATTGAATTCTTGTGATGAATATTAAATTATTGATATTTATGAAAATATTTGAATTTTGCAAAGAATTTTATTGAAATTCCTGAAAATAATTGAATTTCTGTGAAGCATTTTGATATTTATCAGAATAATTGAATTCTTTAGAAGAATTAGTTTTTTACTTTTTGTAAAAATAATGAAATATTCATTGAATAGATGAAAATTTTTGAAAATAATTGAATTTGAAAAAAAAATTTTCTTATGAATTCTAAAAATTTAATTTTTTCCAGTACTTTTAATAAAAATCCCTGACTTTACCCAGAATTCTCTGATCTTTGGCAACCATGAAGAAAAAAAATCACTTTTTGGTTGCAAATTAATTTCTCTCATAAATTTACCAATTTTTTCTATTAAAATGATTTTTTTTTCTGTAAATATAGAATTTTTATGAGGTAACAATAAAAATGAAAAGAAATATTAAAGTAACACAACAATGTGATAAAACGATATAAAATTTCATATATACATCAACTTCAAATCCAGATAACTAAAGTAATATAAAATAAAGTTGATACTCTAATTTACAGTGTATTCGATTTATGAATATATTCCCTGTGTTCCCATCATCCCTCTCTCTCTCTCTCATATTTTGCTAAAGTACTAGAAAAAAAATAAAATTTTCGACGGCAGTAACAATAAACCGCAGAAACACTCATACTCCAACTCGCGAAATAAATGCGCTATTAAATTTTCGCCAATCACTGACTAGTTTGATAATCGGTTAACTCGCCGAGAGTTAGGATTGGTCCAAGGCTCCGCCCAGGGGTTGATATTGATCACCCCTCGGTAATGCAGCATCCCCTATATAAACCGAATACCCTGGGATTTATCAGATAGTTAGCTACCAGTTCAAAAACAGTGAATGACAGTTCTGAAACAATTTTTATACGTCAAAAATGATCTATTTTACTCGCTTAGATTGAAAAAAAATTTTTTTTGTCCATTTTCAAATTTGAAAAAAGAAACAACCAGTGAAATTTTAAATTGTTCCTGTCGATAGAAAATGTATTCGAAAAAATTGTCTTCCGCAACGAAAAACAAAAATAAAAGTGTGATTTTGTGAGAGATTTTGTTATTTTTGATCTGTTGGAAAATTTGATTGGAAAACAAGAGACCAAAATGGCAACTCATTTCGAGTATGAAGATAGAGGACAGAGGATTCGTCATCGAATTGGGACCACTTCTAGACCTGCTGATTCTACTGTCGCGTGTTCAAGGTAAATGAATTTAACGTATTTTTTAATTAAAAAAACAAATAATTAAATATTAATAATAGAAAAAGAAATTTTCGTCCTTTTTCAAAATGATTCTTTTCATCACGAGATATTATATTATTTTGATTCAGGAAAAATGTAAATAATTAGGAATTAATTTAATTAATCCAAAAAAATTATTTTCACCTAAGAAAAAATTCTATAAAAATGATTTTGTTTCTATTTAATTCTTTTAAATTAATTATTAATTATTATTTCAATTATTAATTCAATTTAATTCTATAAACGTTTTCTTTCTCTTTATAAACTTTGCTATAATGTTATCCATTTTTTTCTCAGTTTATTCTATTCCCAAAATAAGAACATCAATCTTTAGAAAAATAAAAAAAATATTAAAGAAACCAATATCTTTTAATAATTTAATTTATATATATTATAGTTTTTTATCCCAGAATTATTTTATATTAATACTTTAATAGTGAGAATAAAATGAAATTATTTTCTTAAACTGAAAACAAAGAATTGAATTAAAATTAAATTAAAATAAATTAAATTAATAAAATTATTATTTCTTTGTTATTTAGGAAATAAAAATATTTTTCTTCTTATTTTTTTCTAATTTAGTACTAATTTAAAGATTTTTAAATTACCTTTCAAATTAATTTTCAAATAAATTCCTAATTGTACTTTAAGAGAATAAATATTTAAATATTAATTAAATTAATTAAATAAATAATTAAGAAGTTCCAAAATCATTTCTCACTTTAATCGAGATAACGAAAACGATTAATTAAAAATAATTCTAATTTCTTTCAAGTCCATTCAGCTCTTATTAAAAATAATTAAGAAAATGTTATGGAAAATATTTTTGCATTTCATTTTCATGGCAATATTCGCCTAAATTTTAAGTAAAAAAAAATTATAATTTATAGTTCGCAATATTACGTGGGCCCAACCAATGACATTAGCGAAGAGGATTTAGTGGATTTACCCTCATGTGTCTATGCGGGAAGAAATCCGCATCACGTGACGCATACAACGTCACATTCACATTCACCTTTACATTACCACATACCAAACACAACACCAGGTAAGAAAAATTGTTTAAAATTTTACAAAAAATATTTCTAATATTTTCAGTTATTGAGAGTGAATTGATTTTTTTCAAACTAAAAATCAAGCTAAAAATAATTAAATAGGAAAAATAGTTGAAGTACAAAACTATCTCGAGCAAAAAAAATTAAAGTGCAATAATAATTCAAGAGCAAAAAATAATTAAATAGAAAAAATAATTCAAGTTCAAAAATATTTACAGCAAAAAATAATTAAATAGAAAAAATAATTCAAGTATAAAAATAATAATTAAATAGAAAAAATAATTCAAGTACAAAAATATTTCCAGCAAAATCAAAGTGCAATAAATAATTCAAGAGCAAAAAATAATTAAATAGAAAAACAAAATTTAAGTACAAAAATATCTAGAGCAAAAAAAATTAAAGTGCATTAATAATTTAAGAGCAAAAATTAATTTATTAAAAAAACATTGTAGCTCAAAAATCATTTTAAAAGAAAAGTTAATTAAACAAAGAATTAAAATTCACACAAGATAAAGATAAAGATAAAGTGCATTAATAATTTAAGAGCAAAAATTAATTTATTAAAAAAACATTGTAGCTCAAAAATGATTTTAAAAGAAAAGTTAATTAAACAAAGAATTAAAATTCACACAAGATACTTATTTAAATACCAAAAATTAATTCAAAATTTTGAAAAATCACAGATCACAATGACATTGATATGAATGGAGTTGAGGAAAGTTACTATCCAAACGGAAGTCCCTATAGAATTCAAAGACACGCCGCCAACATTAGGGAGAGAAAACGAATGCTAAGGTGAGAAAATATTTCACCAGTGATTAAAAAGATTGTTCTGATCAATTTTTACTAATTACTAAAACCTATTTTTGAATAATATTAAACTATTTTTGCCAAATTATCCTGCTAACTAAATTTAGCTAAAAAAAAATCAATAAAAATAAATTTTCAAAAAATAATCAAATAAGATAAGCAGATTGTAAGTGTAATTGCGATTTTTAGCAGCATCAACTCGGCTTTCGACGAACTTAGGGTTCATGTACCCACCTTCCCTTACGAGAAGAGACTCTCAAAAATTGACACCCTTCGATTAGCGATAGCGTACATAGCACTACTTAGGGACGTTCTGGACGCGAGATTAGATCCTTTGACTTACGTCGAAAGGTGCCTTCGAGGGGAAATTAGTGGTGTACGAGCCGAATGGAACACTAGTGGTAAGAAACATTACATTTCGCCATATAGGCCAAATATTTTTTTACCCTTTATAACAAAAAGAAAAATTCCAATTTTTTTTTTTACTCTGAACTTTTTCAGTTAATTCGATTTTAAAATATGTACAAAAAATAAAAAAATATGTGATTAATTTTCAATTTCCCTTGACCTAATAAAATTCAAATTAAAAAAGAAAAAATTATAATGAAATGTAAAATTTAATTGACTTACAGATTTGACGGCCCGATTATCCTGGATAAATTGGGAGAACCTTGGAGTCAATCCAAATAGGCGATCAGTGTTAACTAATTTAGCACTAACAACTGACAATATGACCTAAAAATAAGGAAATTAATTAGTTTTCAAAACAAACAAAAAAAAAAACACTGTAAAAAAACAAAAAGAAATTATAGTGCCAAACAATTAGCATAAAATTTCTAGTCTTTGTGCAATAAGAAATTACGTTGTATACTTTACATCAATGTATTATGTATATATAAATATTTAATCCAAAGACCTAATTATGTATTTAGATACTATAGACATTATTTAACTTGAAATATAATTATTTATAAAGTAAAAACACTTTTTATCTACTAAAATGAACGAAAATTTACAAGTAATAAATACACTCGGAAAAAGTGAAAAATTCAAGTTTTTTCAATATTTTTACAATTTTATAATCAAAATCAATTAATTTTGGCACAATTATCAAAATTTCATTGTTTTAGTTCACAATATTCAGTAATGCGAAAGTTAAAACAATGAAATTGCAAAAAATTTCGTTCCTTGGCAAATGTCAATACATTTCGAGGTTATGTTGCAAGTATCGACCGCGGATTATCATTTTTATCATCAATTAAAGTATTAAACACTGTGAATTCATGTAAAACATAAAAGACAAAATAATTTCACTTATCTTACCATGATTTTTCCAAGAATTTCCAGCGAAGAAACAATTGAAGATCGTAAAACATGTGACGACAGGCTCCAACACGTTGGAAGTATATTTATCAGTCAGAGTGTCGATTTTCGGGTTTTAAGTGAATTAATTCAATTGAATAGTTCCTAATTACTGTTTTTCATAATCACTGGATGAAAAATATCGCCGATAGACTCGTTGAAATGTAATTTAAATTGTGATTTTTCACGAGGAACTCTTCAACACTTGTGACGTCCAACGTGAATGGCGTGGAATTGCTAAGGTATGTTCACAATCTTTTGTCTTGTCAATAATTATCCATTTTTTTTTCTTTTTTCACACACAAATCGCCAATTTGTCATTAAATTATTTATTCTGGTTTGTTAAAAAACATTTCCCCATGTTCACTGGAGCCGGCAAGACGAAATTTTCAAACAATGAACGCAGAACTGCGCGTAACCTACAAACCGGAAATAGGGGGAAAAGTTGTAGATGGCGTTCTTCCGCTTTTCAAATTTAAAATTATTTCTAAATTATATAAATTAACTTCGACAAAATTAATTAACTTATTTACAAAATAACCTAATAACTGGAAGTAAGAAAAAAGTAGTAAATGACATTCTTCCGTTTTTCAAATTTAAAATTAAATAGATTTTTGCTAATTTCTACTAAGTTAACTAACTTATTATCCTTATTAATTAATTAATTAATGAAATAACCTAAAAACCGGAAATAGGGGAAAAAGTTGTAGATGGCGTTCTTCCTTTTTTAAAATTTAAATTTATTGAAAAAAGCAAAATTAAATATTTTTTTGCCAATTTCTACAAAATTAAGAAACTTAATTAATTTTTAATACGATTTTTTTGTTTTTACTAGTTTATAATTACCACCGCACCGAATTCAAAGGAAATTAAACAAAAATGGAAACTGACGATTGCGTGGAAATCATCGTCTTGAATAAAAATTCAAAGGAGAATCGGACAATGAACGAAAATAATAAAACAAATGTAAAATACATTGAACTAAATCTTCAAAATACAAAAGTTCCTATTCCTCGACAATTTAAGAACAATTCGTCTCGAAACGATAATACAATCAACAACAAAAATCAACAATTTGTCAAATTTACAAAATTACAAGACAACAAGAATATTTTCTCAAAACTTTCTTCGAATACAGTTTTAATAAAACACGATAATAAAATTAATTCACCCAAAATTGAACAACCAAAGAAACTTGCACCAAAGGAAGAAATTAAAATTAATTACGACAATAGAAATAAATCCACACAACAAAATGAAAAATACGTACAAAAAAATGTCAAGAACAAAACGTAAGAAAAAAAATCATTTGTCAATAATAATTTATAATTTTTTTAATTCATTAATCAATAATAAATTAATAACTTTATTATTTTACAGAATTGTCGAAGTTCGTCGAAATCCAACGCGACTATCAAAAAAAAATCTAGACAAAGATTTCGTCACATCACGCCAAAAATTAATATCGACTAAACGAAAAGAAAATTTCCCAAATTCAGAATCTAACAAACGAATTAAATTGTCGAATAATAATGCTTACATGAATACAAGATCGGTGACAAAAAAACTTGATACAATTGGTTCTACTTCGCAAACGCCGAGTATTTATGATTTAATCGATTGGAAAGAGTGGCCAGTTCATGGAATGCACGAAAGACCCGTTTTCCATTCCGAGGTAATAATTATTTCTAATATTTTCAATAATAAACGTCTAGAAATAAATCTAGAAATAAATTTTAACAATAAATTATTATCAATAGCTCAATAAATTATTATCTATAACTCAATAAATTATTATCTATAGCTCATTAAATTTTCAATAAAATAAAAAATATTTTTCAGCTCGGTTTGGGAACGCAATATTCAGACAACAGATTTATCAAGAATTTGGACACAATCACTGACACAAATGCTTCCGACGAATCAGAAGCCGAATCAGAGGATCACGACGAAGATTTTTTACGATTAAAAAAATTAATACGACAACGAATTAAAGATTTGGAATCCCATAAAATCGAAAATTCCTCTGACAATAACATCGATATTTTTCAATTAACAATGCATAAAAATTTACATTTAGTCCTTGCATTCTGCACTCAAATATCGAGTCACGAATATCAAACACAAATTCAAAACAAATTAAAACTCTTAAAAGCAAAAATCACCGCTGACAGTCAAGATTGGTCAAAAAATGAGACAAACGAATCGAAAAACGAGAACATTGATAAACCAATATTAATAAATAATTCAGTCCCAGCGGGAAATATTCCAACAAACTCTAAAACAAAAAATATCTCTAACAATACGTACAAAGTATTAAAATTCATTTCCGCACGAATGGAACCAGCAAAATGTCTCATCACACCTCGCAAAACAGTGGCAAATATTCAAAACAATCAAATCACGAACATTCAAAATAATTGCTCCAAATTACAAGATATTATTCGTGGCTCCTCCAAGAATGCCTTGATTCTCCTTAAAATACAAGAACCGCCGAAAGTAAATTCAAAACGAATAGAAAATTCTTGTCAAAATAATCAATGTGCAAAACCTTTGGTGACAAATTTAAATTGGAATGATTCAACAATCAACAATGACTCCATGATGAATATAACTTCCTTCTACGAGAATTTCCTTCCTGTTGAAGAGGTGAATTATCTTCAGGAATCTGATGAAAAGACAGTTCTGGAAATAAAAGACAACGATCAAAATAAAATAAACGAAATTAATCAAAATATAAACGAAACACCAGAAACTATGACAATCAACTACTGTGACTCGATTAAGGGAATCGACTCACAAAATTGTGATTCGATCGGAAAGCAAAATAATTATAATTTCACCGATCAGCGAAAATTCGGACTAATTGGAGATTTTTATCACAAGTCGACTGCAATTGTAGACGAACAAAAAATTAAGGAGTCAGATGAAAATCAAGAAATATTGGAGGCTCTAGATTTATCCACAGTGAGGACAAGGAAAGAAGTTTCAAAATCCAAGAAAGAAGAAGAAACTCTAAAATCTAGAAAGGAGAATATAAAATCAAAGAAGGAGGTAATTAAAGGAGGTAAATCGCGAGAGGAGATAAAAACAAAGAAAGAAACAAAATTAAAACAAGATTCTATCAAAACAAAGGAAGAGATTCTAAAAGCAAAAAAAGAAAACTTGAAATCAAGCGAAGAAATTTTGAAAATAAATGAAACTTTAGATGGAAAAAAAGAAGAAATTCTCAACAAAGAAGATTTACAGACTTTACTGGAAAGTACAATAATTTTGTATTGTATAATCACTGGGGCTGATCAGGAGAATGTTGCAAATTACATAGATACTCTAAATGCTGTGGAAAATTTGGAATGGCTCAAAGAAGACTCTACTGCTTCAAAGTAATATTACATTCAATTAATATTACATTCAATCAAGGTGATATTAATTTTGCCCCTAAATATTTAATTTGTTCTATAATTTTTTTTCTCTGATTTTCTATTTTTAAGTAGTTTGAAAATTGACTACCGCACGTTTGTTATAAGACAAAAAGAATTAAATGTACCGACTACAAATGATTTGTAACTGCAAATTAAAGAATTTCAAATTTCAAAATGTATTATTTGAGAAAAATTGCTAGGAAAAAATTAAAAATATATTCAATCAATAAATAATTAAGTTAAATAATAGTTTCAATAAATTAAAAATTAAATTAAATATTTCAATAAACTAGAAACCAAAATAAAATTATAGTTTAAATATAAATTCAAAATTCGAAAATTTTAAAAAATGGAAAATTAAATAAAAAATAAGTTTCAGTAAATTAAAAATTAAATTAAAGAAAAGTTCAAATGGATTAGGAATTAAATTGAATAAACCTGAGGCAGAAAGTTAATATTAAATTAAAAATTTCTATATTAAAGTTTAAATAAATTAAAAATTAAATGAAATAAAACATTTAATAAATTGGAAAAATTTAAGGCAAAATATTGAAAATTAAATAAAAACTTGTAAATTAAAGTTTAAATATGTAAATTAAATATGAAATTCATAAAATTTTGTTAAGGTAAATAACATGAATTTCTGGAATAATTTAAAATTTATTTTTCCACAGTGCATTAAAAATTTAAAATCGTAGAACTTATTTTAAAATCGACTTGAAAATTACTTAAATAGACATCAATAAATTCTTTAGAAAGAAACGAATTTTCTTTTTAATTTAATTTTTAATTTAATTGAAATTACGAATAATACCTATATCATTTATAATTGAAATTACGAATAATTTATAATTTATAATTGAAATTACGAATAATTCTAAATTTAATTGAAATTATGAATAATTTTTAATTTAAATGAAATCACGAATAATTATATTTAAATATTTTTGTTAAATATGAAACCTTTTTAAAATAATACCACCACTTATTCCAGTGTGTATTAAAGACAGAGAGACGATAAAAATTGCGATGAAAAGGAATAGTATAGCGATCGTGCCACATTTTTCCTGTCAAACTCGATTAGAACGACGTTTCCCATGTTTTTGTCTAGAAAATAAATAATTTACAAATTTTATATAAATTATCAATAAATATTAAAATAAAAAGATTTCAAGAAAAGTGCACAAAAAAAATTACATTTTCCTGTCATCTGAATTTGAATCGCTTTCCTCAGTCTCAGTTTTACTTTCATCAAAATCTTCCGAAGAACTTTCCTCCTCGGATATGTGTTTAGCTTTTTTATTTTCTCGAGATTTTTTCTTCTCCTTCTTATCACTTCTGTCGCGTTTCTTTTTCAATTTCTCATCATTTTCACTGAACGATTCACATTTTACTTCTTCCTTTCTCGAACTCTTTCTCTTTCTCTGCCTCTTCTTATAATCGTCGGATTTTCTCGAATTGCGTGAACTCGAATTTGAATAGCCCGAGTCCTCTTTCGGTTTTCTGAAAAATTCACAATTAAATATTATGCTTATAAAATATTTCTAATTTTGTTTACAAAATAAATATTCAGATCGTCATCTATTTATTTTTCAAGAAAAAATTTTATACCATCAAAAATAAAAATTTATACTAGCAACAAATCGCGCGGCTAACTTCTTACTACCTTTTTTTAAATAAAATTAGCAATTTTAAAAATAATAAAATTTGAAAATTTTCTAATTTAAATTTTTGTTGAAAATACTAAAAAAAATTCAATTTTGTAGAATTTAAAAATAATTGCAAAAATTCTTTAAAAAAAAATAAAATTCTTCTTATCAAATTCAACTATGTTCAAATCTTGAAAAAAATTCTCGTAAAAATCCCAATTATCTTTATAAATAACAAAATTCTTTTCCAAAGTTCAACTATTTTCAGAAATTTTTCTAATTTTAATGATTTTCAATATCTACGATTTTAATAAAATATTTCCCAAAACGAATTCAATTATTTTCCAAAAATTTTAAATAAAATTCAAGAATTAAATGCTTAATTTCAATTATTAAGAAAGAGGATTATTTTAAACTCTTGAAAGAAATTATTCATATAGAATTCAATTACTTTGAAAACTTTTAATTAAAATGATTAAAGAAAGTCCATTATTTTAAAGAAACTCAAAGAAATTCTTCAAAAGAATTGAATTAAGATTATGTAAAATTTTAATAAAAATTCTTCCTAAATTCAATTATTTTCATAAACAATAAATTTCTTCGAAGAAATTCAATTAGTATCAAATTTTTTGATAAAATTCTTTGCAAGAATTCAATCATTTGCAAATGTTTTATAAATTTTTTTGCAATAATTCAATTATTTAACAAAAAAATAATTAATAAAAGTTCTTCATAAGAATTCAATTATTTTTTAAAATTTTAATAAAATTCGTTGCAAAAATTTAATTATTTTAAAAAAGTTTGATAAAATTCTTCGAATCAATTCAATTATTTTAAAAAATTTTGAAAAAATTCTCGGCAAAAATTTCAATTATTTTCAAAAATTTTTCTCAATTTAATGGTTTTTATAATATTTACTGAGATTTTTCAAAAGAATTCAATTATAAAAAATTTTATTGAAATTCTGCGCAAACATTTAATTATATTCATAAAATAATTAAAATTTCATAAGGAATTCAATTATTTTCATAAATAATAAAATTTTTTAAGGAATTCAATTATTATTTTCATAAAAAATAATTTAAAATTCTAGAAAATAATAATTTAATTAAAATGATGAAAGTAATTTTGATGAAGTTACAGTAACAATATTCTTATAATGTAAAATAATGATTTTATCTCTCGGTCATCTTTAATTTATTAGAAAACATGAAGAAATCGATCACTCCGAGTCTTCGACTCGGAGCAATTGATATCTTCAAGTTTTATAAACAATACTTTTATAAGTTGTTTAATTTAAAAAAGGTTTGAATTTTGAATTTTTGAATATTAATTCCTGTGGAAAATCCTGTTCCAAAGATAAGATTAAAATATAAATTGTGCAAATATTTTTCTTCTTTTTCTAAAACAAAATAATAATTTTGTTAAAAAAATTGTGATTCAAATAGAAAATAATGGAAAATAAATAATTTTTCTATTTCTTAATCACATTTGGTTAATAATTTTTTAATTTTTTTTAGAAGTAAAGAACAAAAATAATTTCAATTTGAAACATAATATTTAACAAAATTTTAGTCTTTTGATGAAAAGAAGTAAAAAAAATTCTGATGATTTCTATTTTCTATCTAAAGTTAACAAAAAACAAAAATATAAACAAAAGACAACTTCAGAGTGTGAGGGACAGAAAAAGTGAATGAAAGAATGAAAGAACATTTAAATTTATATAGTTAATTAATTAATTAATTTCGATAGGAATTTAAAATACTGGCAACTAACCGAGAACGGGTTTTCGGTGATGAATCATATTTATCGATATTTTCCGAATAGTCACTGTCAGAAATATTTTCCTCAACATCAATTTCTCTTAATTTTCGCTTTCTCTTGTCTTCTCGATATCTTTTATTTCTTCCCTCTTTATTTTTTTCGTTTCGATAAATAATACTGATATTCGGAATTTCATATTTCTCGTATTTTTCTTGCTTCCTTCGACTTTTGGTTTCGGTTTGCACTACATGTAATCTATACAATTGCAGTAAAATAACCAATGTATTCTTGCACGTGAAGAAAATATTCATGTAACTCACAATCTGGTAGTGAATAATTAATATGAGCCTGAATGACAAAAATGGTCCATCCTGTAAACAAATTCCAAATTATTAACTCTATTAACACTATCAAATTATTTTAATACAACATTTTCGATAGAAAACTTTTAATATGAAATTTTTATTTAAAGACTTTTTTTAATTTTTAGTTAAAAGCTTTCTTTAATTTTTAATTACAATTTTTACATTTTCATTAAATTTAAAAATTTCAATTTTCCAAATTTCGAAAAAATAATCACCTGCAGCAACATATTTATTGCAATTCCCCAAACGTCAATACTACAGCAACTTGTTTCGGTTGGCACTTTTCTCTTGACGGCACTACCGGATGAGAGTCTCGATTTTCTCGATTTCGTTGCCGTTAAAACGACGGTAAATTGCATCAACGACCATGACCAAATGCCCAAAGTTAAATAAACTAAAACTGGCTCCCTTGCTATCTTGTCTTCCTTGAACGAGTCGAAGAATTCAATAATATCAGCAGCAGTGCCAATGTACACTAAAAGAAGTTGACTCAATTGATCTCGTGTTAAATCACCCTTAGGCAGCATCCATCGTCCAATTATTAAAATTAACATCAAAAATTGTTCAATCAAAGTCACCCAAGTTTCAGTCGATATTTGAATCGTTGGCAATTTGATGTTTACCTGGGGATAAGAAAACTAATTTTAATAAATCTTTATAAAACAAACTTTATCTTTTCTACCCAATATAAATTGGAATAAAAATAATTTCTCATTTTTTATGAGAATACTTTTAATTTAATCATTCATTCATTTCATTAAGTAATCGCATTTATTCATTTAATTAATTAAACATTCAATTGTTTGATTCATTAATCATATTGAATCGTTTAGTCACTTTAATAAAAATAATGCTTATTCAATTATAGAGTGAAGAAAAAGCGAATGATCCTTTAAAAAGAAAATTACCCCTAATGCTTTCTCCAGGTGTTTCAAATCAGAGGCAGCTAAATTTGTAAAATCCAAACTCTCGCTGATATTAATATTTGATTCTCGCATTCGAATCCTCTTTTCAACTTTGTCCAATTCCAAAAGCCAAATTGCAGGTACCACACTTCCCAAGTAGAGAAATACTGACGGACAGAACCTGTAATAAAAAAATAAAATTACTACAAATTTTCATTTTTTTTAATTATAATTATTAACGAGCAAATAATAAGCGCACGGAACGTGATTTCAATGTATTATTATATTATGAAAATTACAAAATTTTTTATTTTAAAATATAAATTTTTGAATAATTTCATAATCAAAATTCAAAAAATTAATACATACAGTAAAATCTTTGCAAAAATTTAATTATTTTCAATAAAATTTCACGAAAGAATTCAATTATTTTCAATTCAATTTTAATAAATTTCATTAATGAAACATTCAATTATAATTATTAACAGACACGATTATCTTAAAAAGTTGACAAAAATTCTTTGTTTAATTCAATTATTTTCAAAAAAACTTAAAGAAGTTCTTCAAAAGAATTTAATTATTTACAAAAACTCTAATAAAATTTATTGTTTAAAAGAGATTAATTTTTTTTTTGAAAGAATTCAATTATTTTCTTTATTTTAATAACATTTTTTTGAATGAATTGATTATTTCACAAAATTGTAATAAAATTCTAAGAAGAATTTAATTATTTTCTAAAAATGTTATTAAAATTCTATAATTAAATGATTAATTTCAATTATTGAGAAACATGATTATTTTTATAACTTGAAAGAAATTGTTCATAAAATTCAATTACTTTCAAAATTTTCAATTAAAATTATTTTAAAAAAACTCCATTATTTAAAAAAAAATTCAAAGAAATTCTTCAAAAGAATTTAATTAGAATTTTTTTAAATTTTAATAAAATTTAATATTTAATAATAATAAATTTAATAATTTTAATAAAATTCTTCTCAAGAAATTCAATTATTTTCAAAAATAATAAAATTCGTGGTAGAAATTCAATTATTCTCAAATATTTTGACAAAATTCGTTGTAAAAAATTTTACCTACAATTTTTAAATATTCCAAATGTAACAAAATTAATGTAAAACTTTTTGCTCTCTCTTTCTCAAAAAAAAAAAAGAAACAAAAACAAAATTTAAATCCGATTTAAGAAATTTTTTTTCGTTTTTAATTTGAAAATTGTTCTTTCAAGAATATTAAATGTCCCTAATATCTTTTTTGATATCAAGATCGAACCCTAATCGTTCACACAGGAAGTCAATATTTTTTGACCCGATTTCTCTAGACTATTCTCACGTAGAAGTTACTAATGTACAATTTCCGTCTGTCAAACTGAGTTGATCGTTCCAAACACACCCCAAAAATAGAGGTACTCCTTGAAAGCCAATTTTTTTTTCTCTTATTGTTAAGTTTCTCAAGCGGAAAATTACCTTGTTATTTCAAATATCGTATCATTTTCATAAAATACCAATTTATTAAAAATTTTGAACTTGACCCAGTAGATTCTTTTCTTTTCGTTAATTGGGGTAGTAATAATAAAAAAAATTGTCGCACGTGCTTCAATTAAATTTCTACGTACGAAAATGTAATTTAAACAAACAAATTCACCAAAAAGAGTAAAAAAAATTATTTTTCAATAAATTATTAACAAAAAAAATAAGTATTTTTTTTGTGAAAAAAAAAATTTTTTTTTTCTCTCATGTGATGAAAAAATAAAAAATTTTCTCGTTATAAAAAGCAAGCAGAATTTTATTTACTCTTACCATTTCCATTCCTGATTTTCTTTAATAGTGAGCGTAAAAATACCCTCGAAAAACAATAGTAAAATTGGACAACAAAGATACCAATAAGTCGGATTTGCCTTAAAGTTTGTGACTTGCCAAATTGCAATAAAACCATGAGAAGCAAAAACTAATCGCGTAATTATCGCTTTAATCGTTGCCAAAAATTTCGCCATCACTATTTCCACTATTGTTTATCATGAAATATAAATAAACGACTCAAACAAAAATCCACCAGAATCGCACAATTTCATTTTCTCCTTTTTCAAAATCTCCACATTTTGAAAAATTTAACAAACAAAGAAATTAGAGAGAAATACAAATTTCCATTGAATATACTTTTCAACATAACTAAAGAATTTTCCAAAATATTTATTCGAAATACAAATAAAATAAAAATATCAACTCATTCGCGTAAGGGATGAGAAAGAACTGCGATTTAGGGAAACAAATTTCAAATATTATTTGTGACGCGCAAGCGTAAGATTGCAATAATGAATTTGAAGAATCAAATTCCACTCTCATGGAGAATTTTTTAAATTAACTTTTAATTAATTTATTAACTTTTAATAACATCGACAATTAATTAAAGCAATTATTAGATTGTAATTTTTGAAAATAAATAAAATTCTGATTAAGTAATCAAATTCCATTTCCATGGAGTATTTTTTATTTACTTTTATAGTCATAAATATTTAATTCAATTAATTTAAATTAGAAATTTAAATTAATTTACTTTAATTAATTTTCAATTACATAAAAAATAAATTCAGAAATTATCAAGTTGTAATTTTTGAAAATAAATAAAATTCTGATCATGGAGAATTCTCTACATAATAATTTTAATAATTAATTTTAAATGATTTAATTTAATTTAATTAATTTTTAATTATATCAAAAGTTAATAAAAATAATTATCAGATCCTGATTTTTAAAAAAAAATAAATAAAATCGAACTTCACTCTCATGAAGAATTTCTTAATTAATTTAAATTAAATTAATTAAATTAAATTAATTTTCAATTATAACAAAAATTAATAAAAGTAAATAACAGATTAAAAATTTTGAAAAAAATAAAAATTTACTCAATCAACTTCTACTTTTATGGAAAATTAATTAAAGTAATTATCAGATTGAAAAATGAAATGGTGAGAAAGAATTTAATTTTTCTTTAAATATTTTTCGAAGAAATTCAATTATTTTTTAAAATTTTGATAAAATTCTAAGAAAGAATCAATTATTTTCAATACATTTCTATTTAAATTTCTTGAAAAAATTGAATTATTTTTAATAGAATTATAATAAATTTTAACAAAACAATTCATTTATTTTCAATTATTTCAATTATTTTCAATTTTCCTAGAAACATTAAAATTATTTTTAACAACTTTGATAGAATTGTTGTCAAGAATTCAATTATTTTTATAAATAACAAAATTCAATTATTATTATTATTATTCAATTATTCAATTAATTCAATTATTTTTAATACAATTTTATTAAATCCTTCAAAACAATTCAATATTTTTAAATTTGTAATAAAATGTTTCGAAAGAATCCAATTATTTTCTAATATTATACTAAAATTCTTTAGAAGAAATCAATTATTTTTAATACATTTTTATTTAAATTTCTTGAAAGAATTGAATTATTTTTAATAGAATTATAATAAATTTTAACGAAAGAATTCAATTATTTTCAAAAATTTTGATAAAATTTGTCATAAGAATTGAAATATTTACACAAGTTTTAAAGTTCTTATGAAGAATTCAATTATTTTCAATGCAATAATTTTAATCAAATTTCTTGATAGAATTTTAAATTTCCTCAAATCAATAAAATTATTTTCAACAACTTTGATAGAATTCTAGGCAAGAATTCAATTATTTTCATAAATAACAACATTCTTCGGAAGAATTCAATTATTTTTATAAATAGTAAAAACTTTGCAAAAATTCAATTATTATCAATTCGTTATAAAATTTTTCAAAAGAATTAAATTATTTTCTAAAATTGTAATAAGTTTTTCGAAACATTTCAATTATTTTTATAAACAGTAAAACTCATTGCAAAAATTCAATTATTTTTAATAATTTTTCGAAAGAATTAAATTATTTTCTAACATTTTAATAAATTCTTCGCGAGAATTCAATTATTTTCCTATAAATAATAAAATTCTTCAAAGAAATTCTATTATTCTCAAAATTTTTGATAAAATTCTTTGCAAGAATTCAATGATTTTTAATACATTAATTAAAAAATTGAAAACATTTAAAAAGGAAAATTTATTAAAAAAGTTAGGAAACAAAAAAGAAAACAACGACTAACTTCAAACTGCGAACAGGTTACCAGAATACAACGATTATTAATATAGATTTTTGTTAATTTAAGTTACTTAATTAAAATTAATTTAATAAATTTAAATTAATTAAATTGAATTAATTCTCAATTACATCAAAAATTAATAAAATTAATTATTAATTATCAGATTGTAAAATTTGAAAAAATAAAACTCAGCTCAAGCCCCTTTAGAATGACTATTCTCAATGCCTCCGTGTGGTTCAACCAGAAAATCAATAATTCTGGATAATTTGAATAAAAATTCAAAATTAATCCCGACAATAATTAAAATCAACAATCAAGATCCTCAAAGATTTAAATACCTCCAAAATTCAGTAGAAAAAGTTTCAAAAATTCCAATTTTCGAAAATAAAAATCTCCGTACAATCACCAGTAAACAAGCTAGGAATCAACTTGATCCATCATCATCATCATCATCATCACCAAATCGATGGAAAATAAGGAGACCTGTAAATGAAATGTCATAATCAACTTTAGACTTTAAGATTAGTGTTGATATCGGGGTCTAGGTGGGTAAAAAAAAGTATGTTTACGTAAACGTAATCTCATGACGAATGTTGTCACGTGACGAATATTGAAAATCGCCAAGAAGAAAAGAAGTGATTATGGAAATATTGGAAATAATTGAGAATATGGAAAGCGCCTCTGGATTCAGTCGAATGAATTAGCGAAATGTCGAACAGTGTTTTTCACGACTCGTGCAAAAATGTAAATAAACTTTTAATCAGTTGACTATACCCGAGTAACTATTTAATTACACACGCAATATGCGTGTAATTCTCCAAGTGCTTCGTTTTCCAAAAGCCCAAAGGTTAGTGATAATTTTTTTGTCATTTTTCTCGAGAAAGAAAATAAATTTTTCTATTTTTTTGTCACTGGATCCTTTTTACACACATATAGTCAATAGTAATACCGACCCTGCTTTGACTTTTTGACGTACGAGAGGAATTTCATTCTGAAATCTGTACACGCATGCACTATGACGTATTATTATTATTGTTTTTTTTCATGCTCGATACTCTATTGTTTAACAGCAACAATTACCATTGTTTTACAATCAACTACAAGTATTGTTATCCTTTATCTCTATTTTACATTCCTAGCTTTTTTTTACTTGACACCTGCTTTTCATAAAGCAAAAAGATTTCTCCACTCATTTCATATTTGACAATCGTGAATATAATTTTCATCAAAGAATTTTTAATTTGTTTTTTACAATACAATTTTTTTTTAAATTAACATTTTTTAAATTAAAATTTAAAAAATTAAAATTTATTTCTGTAATTTTCTATTAGAATTATTTGTATAGATTTTAAAATTTATTCGTCTATTTCTTTTTTGTTCTAATTTCAATGTAAATGGAATTTTATTTCTAGTTTTTATTGATAATAGATTTAAAATTACGTGATTTATTCATGTTTAACGATTTCCATAAAACTGCAACAATTTATCTCTGAGTGTGAGTGTAATAACTAAAGGAACAGGCGTGATATACTCGAGTCGATGAATGTAAAAATAACTTTTGTACACATAACGTCTTGAGTATATTACGTATGTGTAATGCTAATATTAATTTATCACTACAAAGATTATGATTTGCTTCTTTTTTTACAGATGAACGTTCCTTTGTATGGAACGGGAGCCATTATAATTCTGATTGTTGCCTTGTTTGACTTTGGAACTGTTCTACAATTTTTAATCTGCATATTTCTATTTATTCTAGGGTGAGTATTTCAATTATTCACTAAAAATCTCATTTTTATTGCAATAAAATTTCTTCATTTCAAATTTTACCTACTCAATAGTTTATCAATTATTTTAGTTTCGAATCAATTATTTTGTATGTTTTCAAATAATTACTATTTTATTCAAAAATTTTGTATTTTTTTTCAAATATTTACTACTTAAGTCAATTATTTTATATTTCTTTCAAATAATTGACTCGAAAGTAATTATTTGGAAAAAATAAAAAAATCGACTCAAATAGTAGTTATTTGAAAAAAATACCATTTAAATAGTAATTACATGAAAAAATACAAAATAAATTATTGAAATGGTAATTACTGCTAAAAAATATAAAATACTTGACTCGAATAATAATTATTTGAACGAAAAATAAAATAATCGAATCAAAAATTAATTAATTAAACAAAAGTAAAATAATTGACTCGAATAATAATTATTCAGAAAAAAAAATTTGACTCGAATAATAATAATTTGATAGAAAATATAAAATAATTGGCATAAATAGTAACTATTTGAAAAAAACAAAATAATTCACTCAAATATTAATTATTTAACATCTTTTTCCAAAAATTACTATTTGAGTGAATTATTTTTTATTTTTTCAAGTAATTACTTTTTAAATTTTTTGAAAACTTCATTTTTTTAAAAATTATTTGAGTCAGTTAAATTTTTCAAATAAATGAATTACTGGTTAGAATATATTTTATGAGATTTAAGTAAATAATTTCTTTACAATTGAGTGTCCCGATCGAAGAACCGGTTATAATTTTTTAATCATCGAAATTCGTTGATCTCTAAAAACCAAAAATAGTTCCGAAATTAAATACTTCTTTATGAATATTCATTTGTATATAAATAGTGTTTAAATTATATTAGAGGAAAAATATGAGTCAAATTCCTTATTTTTCTATATTTATATGCCAATCATTATGATAAGAATGCAAAAATTAAAACCGGTTTCTTTTAAACATTCAATAAATTAAATAAATTTTCTAGTAAATTTAAGAAAGTTAACGATAACCATGAAATGAATGAAATAATTGAAACTAAATTTATTTTCCAGGTCGATAGTTTATATTTACAAGCAAATTCCTTCAGCTTCTCAAAATGCAGATACATTTTCAAGAGAAGACATCTCCGAATCAAGTAAAAGATTATGGGAGGTAAGAAAAATTATTTGTCAAAAGTCGAATATTAACTTCAATTTTTTAAATAATTTCAGATTTTAAATTTAAAAAATTCACTTATTAAATTTAATTAGTTTTCAATACAATATAAATAAAATTTCACGAAAGAATTCAATTATTTTTAAAAATTTCTTAAAAAATTGTTCGACAGAATTCAATTACATTCTAAAATTTTAATAAAATTCTTCAAAGCAATTCAATAATTTTTATAAATAGCAAAATTCTTTGCAAAAATCAAATCATTTTTTTGTAAATAATAAAATTCTTCTCAGGAATTCAATTATTTTCACTATAATTTTAATAATTTAATAATTTAATTCAATTATTTCCTAAAAATTTCCATAAAATTGAATAATCAAATTTTTACTACAATAATTTGACGTATGCGACTATTATTAAAAGATTCAAAAAAAATTCTTCAAAACAATTAAATTTTTTTTTAAATTCTTATCAAGAGTTCAATTATTTTCATAAGCAAATTCTTCGTGAGAATTCAATTATTTTTAATACAATTTGAATGTTATTTCTCGAAAGATTTCAATTATTTTCAAAAATTTTGTTAAATTTCTTCGAAGGAATTCAGTTATTTTCAAATTTTTTGATAAAATTCTTCGCGAGAATTAAATTATTCTCAAAATAGAATTTTAATAATATTTCTCGAAAGAATTCAATTATTTTCCTAAATAATAAAATTCTTTAAATTAATTCAATTATTTCCAAATTTTTTGAAAAAATTCTTCGCGAGAATTAAATTATTCTCAAAATAGAATTTTAATAATATTTCTCGAAAGAATTCAATTATTTTTAAAAATTTTGATAAAATTCTTCAAATAAATTCAATTATTTCCAAATTTTTTGTTAAAATTCTTCGCGAGAATTCAATTATTCTCTAGACAATTTTAATGATATTTCTCGAAAGAATTCAATTATTTTCAAATTTTTTTGATAAAATTCTTCCCAAGAATTCAATTATTTTTAATACAATTTTAATGATATTTCTCGAAAGAATTAAATTATTTTTAAAAATTTTGATAAATTTCTTTGAAGGAATTCAATTATTTCCAAATTTTTTGATAATATTCTTCGCTAGAATTCGGTGATTACTTTTAGTTCATTAATTAGCTATAAAATAATGTACTTTATTATTTAAATTCAAAATTAAATTGTCAATATTTGAAATTTATTTTTTAGCGTTTGGAAGAGATATCCAAAGAGTCGAAGGAAAAGATGACCTTCAGTCAAGACCGACGAATTACGGGTAGTAGAATTATTGATGAATCTCTACAAGTAAGAACAAATTTTTAATCTCTTTTAAAAAAAACCATTTTTTTCCTCTCCAAGACACTAATTTTCGATTTTACAGGAGATTTTAGACTTCGTTTTGAGAGATTACGTGGAATCGTGGTATAGTAATTTTACTAATGACCAAGAATTCCTCCACTCAGTTAGAGATACTGCTCAAAAGATTATGATTAACGTATCTAACAGGTATGACATAAGAAAACTAACCAAAAGCAAAGAAAAAAAAAGGAAATAATTTTATATTTCGAATAATAAAATAATAAATAATAAGCGATTAAAAAAAACCAAAAAATACGTGAAATAATCTAATATTTCGAATAATAAATTTTTCTTTCAGAGTAAAAGAAGTAGATTGGATTCCCTATTTAACAACGCGTCTCGTCGATGATGCAGCGTCACACATGAGATTATATCAGCAGGCTAGAGCAAAAATGAAACAAATTCAATTGAATAAACTGTCAAAAACAACTAGCACGAGTACATCCGGTGGTACGCCAAAACGTGTACCAACTCATAGGAGAAATATGAGCGACACTGATATATCATGGTATTCACAGTCAAAATTTTATACGCCAAATTTAACATCTCTAACGGAGCCAAAGGAAAATAAGGAAGTCAAAAATTGCGATTCTTTGGAAAATATTTTCTTCGATCTAGAAGTTCAAATGGAAAAGAATTTTTTGTGTAGAGATTTAGTTTGTACAAATGAAGCCGCCGAGAGGACATTCCTGACAGAAATTTCCGAGGTCATTTTATATTTAGTTCTGCCAAAGGAGGATTTCGATTGTATACCATTAAGATTTTTCCTAAGGGATTTATTCGTTAATGTCATAATCAGGCCCCTATTGAATCTACTTTCGGATCCTGATTATATTAATCAAACTTTTATATGGCTGGTGAGTTTTCATAACGATTTTTCTATTTCTTTATTTATATTTTCACTTATTTATTTTATTTATTTTTTCATTTACTTATTTATATTTTCACCCATAAACAATTTAACTATTAAAGGCTTCGCACTCGATAATTAATTTTAAAAAAGTAGCAAAAAGTATTTTTAAGACTAAAAAAAGTAGTAAAAATTAACTATCGAAAATTAAATTTGACGACTAAAAAATTTGATTCAGTAATTTCGTAAATTTTTCCTGATTTCCATAAAAAGTATTCACTTTTTTTCTTATCCTGGTAATAACTTGAATTCTAAATTTTTCTAAAATTCAATTATTTTTCAAATTTTCAGTTAGACTTCAAAACTACGATTATATTTAAAAATAATTTTTGAAAGTAAAAAAACAAAATTCATTAAAATATAAAAATTATTTCAATAAAATTTGAAAAAAATTCCAATTAACTGGATATTTAATATAATCTTTTTTATTATTTACGGAAATTTGATAATCTTCCAAACATTTTAATTATAATTTTTTAAGACTAATTTTCTTTCCTAAATTCTGAGTTAAATTATTCAAAACTTGAATAATTTTTGTTAAATATTTCAATACTTATTTATTTTTTCACAAGAATTAATATTTAAAATTCAATAATTTTTTAGAATTTTTAAATAAAATTATTAAATATTTAAATAATGTTTTTGAAAATTAGATAAATAATACATTTTTTATAATAAATATTTAAATATTATTAGTTTTACGACAATTAAAATTTTTAAAGGCAGACGATTTAAAATTTTTTTCAAATTTAATTATTAAAAAAATTACTATATAACGGTTCTAATATTCAATTATTATTTACAATTATATCTGAAATTCTTTTGTTAATCAATTCTTGTAAAAAAAGTTCTACGAAAATTCAATTATTTTAATATGAGAATAAATAATTGTAATGAATTTTCTAAGAATTTTTTTGAGTAACTGAATTTCTGTGAAAATTGGTATTATTTGTAAAATAATTGAATTTCAGCGAAGAATTTTATTAGAATTTTAGAAAATAATTGGATTCTTTTGATGAATTAAATTACAATTGTATTAAAAATAATCGAATTCTTGTTAACAAATTTGATCAAAACTATTAAAAATAATTGATTTCTTTCGGACAATTTTATAGAAAAATTATTAAATAATTGAATTCTTTGAAAGAATTTTTTAATACAATTTTTAAGAATAATTCATGGTTGCCACACAACCTGGAAAACATGGAAAACCTGGAAATAGCATGGAAATTGAAAAAGGATATGGAAAACCTGGAATTAGCATGGAATTTGAACGAATTTCTGGAATTTTTTTGTGTTAATGAAAGATATTAAGAAAAATTCCATTCAACATGTTTTTTTTTCTTTAAAAATGTTAACATGCAATTTTCCTTTTCCATGTTATCTTCTCTTTAAATTAATTTATTTTTTTTAATTATTGACTGAAACTGTGAAAAATGTTGTTAAGATTGTTCTAAAAAAAGGATTTTATATCTTTATTAGTATTACGATTGTCAAAATTTTTTGTTACTAGTTGCTTTTTGTTCAAGATTTTGAACAAAGTTTAAAGATAAAAATTATTTAATTTAGACATGACTTCAATGTTCTAATTATGGCTGATTCTTCTGAAAGTGACATTTTTGATATCTCGATTAATTTTATAGAATCTACTCTCTAATAATATTATTAACCATTTTTATAGTAAAAATTTATAATTTATAAGAGAACTAAATTTTTATGGTTTTTTTCAAACTCTTAAAAATTTTTTAAAAATAGTGTTAAAAAATACAATGTTTTTCTATCATTATGTGCATTTTAAAAATTTTTGTACCTCCATTTTATATGTGATAAAAATGTTTAAATTTTGTCTTCAGTTTAAGTTAAAATTACTTCACGATGATTAATGATGTTTTTATACATTAAAAATATTATAAAAAAAATGTGAATGCACATTAAAATAAAGTTAATGGTCTGATGTTTAATTTTTCTATATAATATTTATAAAAAATTCTTACTTTTGAGTATGAAATAAAGTAGTTTCAATAGAAAAAACCATACAATTTAAAAAAAAAAATAAATTGAAAAATCGAATATCAAAAGTATCACTTTCAGAAAAATAAACATAAAAATGCCTGTGATTTTAACTGTTTAAGAGAACATTAATTTATAACTACATAATAATGAATATTGTTAACACTGTTTTGTAAAATACTTATTTTTTCATCACAAATAATTCCTAAATTTGAACCTGGAATTTTTAATATTTTTAACCTGGAAAACCTGGAAAAAGCCTGGAATATTGAAATCTAGATTTTGTGGCAACCATGTAATTGCATTTATCGAGGAATTTATGTAAAGTTATATTAAAATAATTGAATTCTTGGGAAAAATTTATGTTTTGTGAAAATAATTGAATTCTTTCAAAGAAATTTATTAAATTTTTTTTAAAAATTGAATTTTTTTGAAGAATTTTTTATTGAAAATTTTGAAAATACTTAAATTTTTTGAGAAAAATATTTACAATTATAATGAAAATAGATGAATTCTTATAAACAAATTTTATCAAATATATAAAAATAATTAGTTTTGTTACGAAGAATTAAAATATGAAAATTTTTTTAAATAAATAATTTCTTTAAAAAAATTTAGAAGCATTTCATTATTTGTGAAACTAATTGAACTTTTGCGAAGAATTTTATTAAAATATTTTTTAATTAATTGAATTCTTTTGTGAAATTTTATATTAGCAGTAAATATTGAAAATAATTGAATTTCAGTGAAAATTTTCATTATTTGGAAAATAATTGAATTCTTGAGAAAAATGTTCTTAAAAAATTTGAAAATAATTGAGTCGTTTCTAAGAATTATATTAAAGTTTTTGAAAATAATTGAATCCTTATAAACAAATTTTAATAAAAATTATTAAAAATAATTGATTTCTTTCGGAGAATTTTATAAAAAAAAATTTAAGTAATTGAATTTTTTCGAAAACTTTTATTAAAATAGAAGATATTAAAAATAATTGAATTCCTGAAAAAAAATTTATTATTTGTGAAAATAATTGAATTCTTGAGAAAAATTTTATTAAAATTTTTGAAAATAATTAAATTTTTTCGAATAATTTTACTAAAATTTGTTCAATTGTTTCGGAGAATTTTATCAATATTGCTGGGAATAATTTTTTTATTTCTATTATTAGTGTGTAAATTCTAAAAAAATATAAATAGTTATTTATGATACAAGTGCGTAAAATCGTTGATTATACGAGTGTGACGTTTGCAGCTCGAGCCGAAGGCGAGTGCTGCAAGTCACACAAGTATAATCTGATTTACGCACGAGTGTCATACAAAATTTTTTGCAACACTAAAACAACTAAACTTGCAGCAATATTGCCAATATTACTGAAAGTTTAGGTGTAGTGGGGGAACTGTTAAATGAAGTTTTCTAGAAGCTAAAATAAAAATGTGATTGTAAATTGTTGTTTAAAAGCTTTAATTCATGGTTTCTCATCAAACAGTCACAAGAATGCGTAAAGTAATCATTTTACGCACTGAAAATCACTTTACACACTGGAATTCATTTTACACACTGCTAGCGGTGTGTAAATTAACACTTTACACACCGCTATAAAATGAAGTACTTTACACACAGTTTTCTGTGTGTAAAATTCAATTTTACAGGTTAGTGTTGCAAAAAGTTGTTTTTTGTATCACAAACCTAAAAACATATCCATATAGTAGCCAATCGTATAAAAGTAGTAAATATTAGTTTTTAGGAGATAAGTACGAAGCCTGCTATTATATTTGACTAATACAAATTTTTTATTTTTCCAGTGCTCTAAAGAAAAAAACTTGCCAAGCGATATTTTCCTAACGGTTATTAGAATAACAGACAATCTAGATGAATTATTAGCGACAAATAACATAGTTAATAGAAGATTAGCCTATATAAGATCCAAAGAAATTGGAGGTGAAGACGATGTGTCTATGAAACAGGAACTAAACAGTCTTCTCTATATGAAAAAAATTCTCGACACTCGAATAATTGTAATGCAAGAGGGTTTAAAATCGGAGAACGATTCCTCCGAGCAAATTCCCGAATGGAATAGATTTCTCCTGCCGGGTCATAAATTAATTCACTTGCCACTCGACGAATTATTAAAAAATAACATTGCCCTAAGTTATTTTATCGATTTCATGACAAGCATCAATGCCGAGGCGTATCTTTATTTTTATTTAAATATTTACGGTTGGCGTGTCTCAGCCGAGCAGCAAATATCTGAAATTGAATTGGAAAAAATTCGTCGACTACATTCGTCAACAATGAAAGATGTGAAACGTCGGCACACCGATTTAGGTAATCTTAAGGAAGCAGCTGTTAAAATTTATCAACAATATTTGACCGATAAAGCAAATATCAAATTACAATTGGACGATACATTGGTTAAACATCTTCTAATGAGAATAAAAAATGAATCAATTAAAGAAACATGGTTTGACGAGCTTCAAATTTGTTGCTATGAAAAATTAAAGAATGACGAGAGATTTTTACCAGCTTTCAAAAGATCGGCGTCGTATGTTAAACTTTTGGCTGAATTGGATTTATTGAAAGACTCGGCATCCGAGGATGATACAAAATCTCTGGATAGTATTAGTGTGTCGAGTATGAATAATGAGACAGATTTGGATCAAGCCTCATGGTTGGAGAGTCAAAAAATGGAGACTCAATCGAATTCGAGTTCGTCGTCGGGCAGTCGTGTGGGAAGTGATTTTCGATCAGTTGACGAATTGGAGGGCGATCGAGGAAGTTTAAAGGAATTTAAAAAATTACCAAAACAAAGTATCGAGGCGGAAAGAGTTGCAGAGGGAAGAGAAGCAACGGCATACTTTGAGTCGAATGCAGAAAATCTTTTTCCCCTTGACGAAAGTCTTCAGGATGAGAATGTCATCAAGAAATTGCAACAGGGACGTTTTCGAATTACAGCGACAATAATTGAGACGGGCATTGTCAGTGATAAGGGAAAAACATATGGTATTTACGCGGTGGCGGTGACAAAAACATTCGAATCAGGTTATCAAGAGAAGTGGCATATTTATCGACGTTATTCCGATTTTCACGATCTCTATCAGCGAGTTAAGGAAAAATATTTTGATTTAGCGAAAATTCCATTTCCCGGTAAAAAGACATTTCACAATATGGAACGTTCTGTACTCGAAAAACGAATGGTCATGCTGAATGCCTGGTTGAATCAATTAACGAAACCAAATATCGCCGATGGTCACATGGGTTTGCAAAATTTGCTTCTCGCTTTTTTGGAGCAGGGAGATTATGATAAAGGCGTCACCGGAGGACATATTTCACGAACGGTAATAATTCTATTTTTCTCCTTTTTCCATTGAAAACTCAATTTTAGAAACAATTTGTAATCAATTGTTTAATTCAGGGTAGCCACAAAAATTTGATTTTCTTTTTCTCTGACTTTCCCTGATTCTAAAGAATATTCTGATTAACCCTAAAAATTAGCAAAAATTTCCAATTCAATAATTTATTAAAATTGTTACTGTAACTTCTTCAAAATTATTTTCAAGATTACAATTCAATTTTTTTCAATTTTCTACAATGTTTAACTAAAATTTTTTTTTAAATCAATTAATTTTAATTATTTTTGTGGAAGTTCTTTAAGAATTTTAAAATCCAATTGCTTATAATTCAATTTTACGAAGTTTCAATTGTTTATAAATTCTTCAATACAAAAAAATTTGAAAATCAGAAGTTCAAATAATTTCAAGAAAATTTGAATTAAAATTTAAAAAAGAAATAAGTTCAATAACAGAATTGATAATCAAGTATTAAAAATTCAGATTTTTAAAGAATTTAATTTGAAATCGTTTAAAATTCAACATTCTAATAAAATTATTCTTTTTCTTTAAAATTATTTTCAAGATTACAATTAAACCATTTTCTAGAATTTTTAACTAAAATTTTTCTTTAAATCAATTATTTTTCATCATTTTTGAGGAAATTCAATTATTTAGACAAAAAAAATGTATAATTTTAAAAAATTCAACTAATTTGATAATATAATTTTTCAAAAAAATAATATTCAGAATTTTTAATTAAAACTATTCAAAATTGAATTAAAAAGACTTAAAATAATTAAAACTATTCATAATTAAAACTATATTTTGAATTCGAAATATTGTTTTATTATTTCTAGAAATTTTTAATATCTCTCTTTTCATATTTAATTATACTCTCGAATTTTTAATTCAAATTCTTCTCAAAATCAATTATTTATATTTATTTTTAATAATTTCTAAGAAAGTTCTCCAAGAATTCAATTATTAAATTCACTTGTTTTTATACAATTTTACAAAAATTCGATTATTCAAAAACTTTTTAAAATATAATACCTATCTTCTTCAGAATTTTGATTTAAAATCATTTAAAATTCAATTTTTCTAAAATTTCAATATGAAACCTTTCTTGAAATTTAATTATTTACGAAAAATAAAAACCCAACTTATAAAATTCAATTATTTTTTAAACTTTTTAATAAAGTGATTCGCTAATTAATTTATAATGTAATAATTTTATAATAAAATAAATTCAAGGATAAATAAATCTTTTTAGTATGTTTCAACACTAGAATCAAAAATTTTCTTATTAATTCTCGAAATTAAATTTTTTTTCTTGTACTTTTAATGAAATTTTCTGACTTTTTCCTGATTTTCTAAAACAATTTTACTTTCCCTGACTTTTCTCTGATTTCTCTGTGACCTGTGGCAACCCTGTAATTATAATTTATAATTAATAATTGTAATTAATAATTGATTTTTCAAATATAAAAATTCTAGATTGACACTTTGGTGAATCCTTTAAAATCATCAATGAAAACGGTGACACAGGCAGTAAAAACAATGCCAGACAATATGATAAGCACTGTGGACGGAGTTATGGATAAATTATTCGGAAGTGCAAAGAAGAATGACATAATTTATGAAAGTGTAAAAGTTGGAGCTAGTTTAGACACAGAGGTAAAAATTTCACTTAAATTCAATACCGTGTATTGTCCCAGTAGCCGTCTATTTTTTACGATTTTTTTTTTCATAATAATGTAAATTAATTTTTTAAAATAGTTCATTACTTTTATTTAATTAATTAATTAGTTTAATTTAATAAATTAATTAGATTAATTTCATTTCATTAGTTTAATAATGCGCCAAGTATTTTGGTGAATTTAACATATTAAAAATTTTAATTTTTCAGACCGACGATAATATTCCCCTGCGAATAATTCTTCTCCTGATGGACGAAATTTTCGATCTAAAGGTCAGAAATCAATGGCTGAGACGAAGAATTGTTACACTCCTAAGACAAATAATTCGAACCATGTTTGGTGATATTGTAAATAGAAGAATTATAGAATACGTTTCGGAGCAAACGAGTCCGAAAAATGTTGCAAAGTACTTGAATATATTCAAGTAAGTTACATACTCAAAATTCCTCTCAAAAATTAATTTAAACTTTAACCAATATTAAATTTTTAATACAATTTTAATCGAATTCCTCGAAAAATTTAATTATTCTTAAAAATTTTTTGATAAAATTCTTTATCAGAATACAATTTAAAGAAACATTAAATTATTCAATAATAATATTAATATATTAAAAGCATTATAGTATAGAATTTTTAGAAATAATTGAATTCTGAAAAGGTTTCAAATTAAAATCTTTGAGAATTAACATTTTAACTAACAATTCTGTGAAATTAATTTTTTTCAAAAGGTTAAATTGAATTTATTTATTTATTTATTTTACCCTTTTTCAAATCAATGAAAACCCTTTTTTCCAAATACACAAAAATCGATTCAAAAAATCCTGAATTAGCAGAAAAAAAAAAGTTTTCAAATTAAAACAGCGAAATAGTAATTTTTTAAAAAAATTTTTTGCAATGAAATTAAACGAAATTTTAATTGTTTTTAGAAATAGTTTTTGGCCTAAGGGCATGAAAGCTGGACCTAAACCACATCGCACTTCCGAGATGAAAAGCAGAACGCGAATCGATGCCAAGGTTGCGCTTCTCGCCTGTTTTTCCGATGAACTTAAACATATCATAGGTAGCGAGACCACACGCTGTGGATTATTAAGAGTTTTCGAACTCTTTCAGCGACCTGTGTTAAATAGAAGACTGCTATATGTACTACTAGAAGGAATTATCGAAACTCTATTTCCAAAAAGGGATTTCGTTTCGATTATTAGAAAATTATACTCAGTTTCGCCACATGTCAAGAATAAAACTCAGGCCAAATCTTGACGAAACTAATATTATTTATTTTTATTTTTTTGCATCTATAGAAAAAGGAGATGATGATGATAATGATGATGATGAAAAAAAATGCTAATATGTGATTATTTGCCAAATGGATATTTAGAGCTAAATAAGAAATTCAACGTATGTAACAGGTGAAAAATATTCTTGCGTGATAGCTCCAAAGTCAATTTGAAACTACGTCACACTTTATATAATACAATTAGCAAACTAACTGATTTCCACTAATTGTAAGTTTTAATTATTCAAATCCAAGGGACTAAATTTTATTCATTAAAAGCCGATTTCTAAAATAGTTTAAAGCTATCATACTTTTAAAAAAAAATCATTTTCACGATATTAATTTTCCTCTACTCAACTCTCGTGCCTTTAAGTTAAAAAAAATATCAACTCCGATTGAACACAATGTTTTAAATTATTCTTTGATATTAATATATAAATCTTTATATTTTAATATTAATTTAACAATTCTCTAATATTATATATTATCTTAATATTCTTTAAGTATTAAATTAAAATTTTTTTAATCCCCTAAATGCCATGGCAAAGATTTGATGGCTAAAATCTTTGCCATTGGCAAAGAGGTTAATATTAATTTAATATTTAATAGTATTAATTTAATAAGAATTTATAGTTTAAATTAATAATTTAGTATTTATATTTATATTTATATTTTAATGTCAAAGTACATTCTGTTATTCTCGAACAAGGTATTGGGACTAAAAACTATACGTACAGGGGAACAAATCAAAAGATTTGTCTTTATAAACTTATAATAATTTGAGAAAAATTCTCCCTATTTAGAATATGGTTTTAATTAATTTTCCAAATAATTTAAAAATCGAAAACTTATTTTATAAAATGAAAAATAAAAAAAAAGAACTTATGATTGTTTCATCAATCACAATATAGCAATCATTCCATTTGCATTTTCTAGATTATAAAAAAACTAATATATAGTATTTATCTTTAGTCTGACATAAAGTATTTAGGTAGACAAAATTCAATGTGAATAATTAGCGAAAGAAATTTTTAATTTTTCATTAAATGTTAATTTTTTCTTTTTAATAAAAAGAGGATGAAATTCTATTCTCAAAATGATATTAGATAGGTAATGAAGATCTTTTGTAAAGCTCACGAGCTAATTAATTACAATTTTATGTTTAAAACTGTACAGAATTAGCACGATAAGTTATTTGCAAGCGTACTATAGAAAATTATACACTATACATATATATATATAAAAAAATTTACATCAATGTCGTACCTCTGTATATATAAAGTTGTTTCTATTGTTATTATTCGTAAGCGACATTAATAACTTTGCAGATTAAAGATGTCTTTATATTATAAAATTTTGCTTTATTTATTTAAATTTTGTATTTTAATTCAATTACTCTAAATATTTATTTTTATTATTTTATATAGTATATACTTTTATTACTCAGGGTTGCCGTAGAAATTTTATTTTATTTTATATTTCTCTGATTTTTCCCCGATTATTCGAAAACATTAATAGTTTTAAATAAAATAAATATTTAACTATTATTATTTTTCCATAGAATTTTCAAAAATTTCAAATTCACAACCTCTTGAAATTCAATAACTCATAAAAATATTGTTACTGTAAATTCTTAAAAATTCTTTCCAAAATTAAAAAATAATATAATAAATAAAATAAAAGTAATAATAAAAATATTGTTACTGTAACTTCTTGAAAATTATTTCCAAAATTTCAATTCAAATTATTATTTTCCAGAATATTTAACTAAAATTCTTCTCTAAATCAATTATTTTTAATAATTAAATATATATTAAAAAATTCAACTAACTTCAAAAGAATAGGAATTAAAATTTTTCAAAAAAGTTAGTCAGACAGAATTGTTAAATTAAAAAAGTATTTAAAATTCCGAAATTCAAACATATTAATTATTGAAATCTTTTCAAAATTCAATTAAAAATTAATAATATTTTTGTAAATCTAAATCAATTTCCTTTACTGACAATAACTTCAATTCTAATTTCTAAATTTTGATAAAATTCAATTATTTTTTAAAAATTTTAGTTAGAATTCTTCAAAAATTCAATAGTATTTTTTAAAAAAGATTTTTAAAAGTAAAAAAATTAAATTCTTTAAAATATATCATTTATTTTAATTAAATTTGACAAAATTTATAATTTAACTGAAAATTTAATTTAATTTTTATAAATTATTTACTAGAATTTGACAATTTAAAAAAATTTTAATTACAATTCTTCAAAAATCTCATTTCTCAGAATTTCTAAATTGAACTATTGAAAAATTGAATAATGTTTGCTTAATAAATATTTGAATACTTATTCTGATTAATTTTTCTACAAGAATTAAAATTTTATATAATAATTATTTTCTAAAAAATTCCAAATGTAATTTTTAAAACATTCAATTTTTTTCAAGTTTCAAAAAAAATTATTCAATACTTTAATCTAAAATTCAATTATAAATTCATTTTTTTAATTAATTCTTATTACAATGTTCTACGAGAATTCAATTATTTAAATACAAAAATAAATAATTGATTACTTCTAAAAATTAAATTCTATAAAAAAAAATTTATCACAATTTTTTAAACCAATTGAATTCTTTCGAAGACTTTTCACAAAATTTTAAATGTAAAATTACATTTTTCAAACAATTCATTTAAAATTGTATTAAAAATAATTGAAATCTTGCGAAGAATTTTATTATTTATGAAAATACATAATTGAATTCTTGCAATGAATTTTCTAGGAATTTTATTGAAAAATTGAATTTTCGTGAAAATTTGTATTGATTTGTAAAATAATTGAATTCCAGCGAAGAATTTTATTAAAATTTTTGAAAATAATTGGATTCTTTTGATGATTTTAATTTCAATTGTATAATCGAATTCTTATTAACAAATTTTATCAAAACTATTAAAAATAAATCATTTCTTTCGGACAATTTAAAATTTTTATTTTTTATTTAAAAATACAAATTTTTAAATAATTGAATTCTTTTGAAAAATTTTATCAAACTTTTTTAAAATAATCGAATTTCTACAAATAATTTTCTATTAAAATTTAAGAAAACAATTGGATTCTTTCGATGAATTTCAATGCAATTGTATTACAAATAATCGAATTCTTGTAAACAAATTTTATCAAAATTATTCAAAATAATTGATTTCTTACGGAGAATTTTATCAAACAAAATTTTTCCTAAATAATTGAATTATTTCGAAAACATTTATTAAAATAGAAGTTATTGAAAATAATTTAATTCCTGCGAAGAATTTTATTATTTGTAAGAACAATTGAATTTTTGAGAAAGATTTTATTTAACTTTTTGATAATAATTTAATTTCTATGAAGAATTTTATTTATTAAAATTTTTGAAAATAATCCAATTCCAATAAACAAATATTATCAAAATTATTAAAAACAATTATTTTCTATCAAGGAATTTTATTTAAAAAATTTTTTTTTTAATTTTTTTTTTCAACTGTGTTATAAAGTTTATTTTTTATTACTTAACATACTTTTATTATTTTCTCCTTCTAAACTTTCAATTATTCCTTCCTCGTTTAAAATTTTTTTCCATTAACTTTTTTCAATTTGTTTGTTTTGTTTTTTTTTTAAACACACGAGTGAACTAAGGTTAAGGCTAGGCGGCCATTTTGTTTTTCTCTCCTCGCTTCGCATTTGCGCATTGGCCGTGCACTGGTTTCGACCTGTTTTGTACTCGGCGTTTAAATCCAAAACTGTCTAAAGTAATCCCCAGTAATTTTGCTTTAATTAAAGATAAATATTCTTTGTATTAGTTATAATAAAGTTCAGTAAGTGTATTTTGCGTTTTAAAATAAAAAAGCACGTGGACGAATTCAGAATAAAATCAGTGGAGAAGTAAAAATTTTTATTGGTGAGTGCTCCTTGTATTATTTACATTTATTTCTGGTATTTAGATTATTTTTATCTCTAAATTTATAAAAAAAAATCTATTATTTTGGAGAATACATGAAATTTTTACCCTGAAACAAATTTATATGCATTGAAAAAATTCGCGTCAAATTCTAACCTGAAATTTTTTCTCCACTGTGCAATAATTTGGCAAATGCTTTATTAAATGTTGTTGAAATTTGAATAATGGGCAAATTGTACAGATTTTTTTTATACATTTCGGAAAAATTTGAGTTTTTTTTCAAAACAATCAAAAAGTGTGTACATTAAGCTACGTTTCCACACTCGTCACTCTATGAATATTGCAATATGCAGAGAATGGGAACGCGGCTTTAATTTTTGATAGTCGGCCATTTTGGATTTCCTGTTTTCTGTATAGTGCGCATTTGCTTGGCGCTGGATTATTTCAGTGTTTAAATCAAAAAAATTCCAGGCAATCGTGTATTATTTTTGAAAAATATTATTTATATTAGTGAAATTAATATATTTTTGGTGTATTTATTGTTAAATTGTAGCAGAAAGTGTGAACAAAGCGGAGTAAATTTGATTGACGGTGCAGATCAATTCCATGCCTGTGAGAAGTCAATAGAAAAATCTTCGTCGGTGAGTAAAATTATTTCTTGCATTTACTTATGTTTTTTAATGTTTTATCTGTAAATAATAAAGTACTGACAAGTGGGGAAAATTTTTTTGCAATAAAGCGAATTAATCGCATGCAATAAAGGCTAAAGCGGTCGATCTATTAACACAAATTCTAACCTCAAAATTGTTATAATTTGAAAAGTAGTTTTTATCAATTTTAACTTCTCTTGATTTAAAATGTTTATAGAAATTTATTTGAATGATAAAATTGAATAATTAATTAGTATTTTTTCATATATTTGAAGAATACAAAATATATTTCTGAAATTTCAAATTAAAAATAAACTTTTCTACGGCAACGAAATAGTTAAAAACATTTTTTTAGTATTAGAAGCAAAGTTGGCGAACTTTTCTTTTAATTTCATTTATTTTTATTTATTTTACTTAATTTATTTATTTTTATTTAATTTCATTTTATTTTATTAACTTTTCTTTTAATTTCAAAGAATATGAAATTTTTTTATTTTTTTAATAATATTTTATTATATTTAATAAAAAAAATTTTTAATTTCTTTTATTTTTGAAATTAAGAAATCGTTTAAGACATTAAAAATAAGTATATTTTCATTAGTTAAACGTTCGATTCACAAAAACAAAAGGAATTAAAGGATTTTCTAATAAAAAAAATGGGAGAAAGTGGAAAATAATAGCAGATAATTTTTTTTTGAGCATAATATTTTAATTCTCAGAATCAAAGATTATAAAATAGATGTATGTATTTGCAATTTAAATCTTTTAAAGTCTATCATTAAACATAACTCAATCAAAATTCTACAATGAGAGAATCATCAGTCTATCTAATTAATCATTTAATTCTTAATATTTAATTCGTATAAAAAGTTATAACTTTTTTTCATTAAAAAAAATCTATATTATGACACGATGCTATTTTAGTCATCTAGCAAATAATCAAAACTAAAAAATAACTTTTTTTTTAAAAATAAAATTTCTGAATAATACATATGCCCCAGCATAATAAATCATTTAAAAAGAACTTTTAATTTTCTTCTATATAATATTCTTTTGTTTAGCAATTTTTTTGTTTAATTGAAGAGAAAATTGCTGATCTAAAAATTTTAAATTCTCATTCATTTTTCGTCTCTAAATTTTTAGATTTTCGTCTCAATGAATTTTGCTTTATTCCTCATCTATAATATCAATGTTTTGTTTAGCAATTTTTATTGATGAAAATTGCTGACCTAAAATTTTCATTACTTCACCGTGTTTCATACTTTTTCTATTTTGCTTGACATTTTGATAATTTTCCTTCACATAGAGAGCAAATGCCGATGGATCCTTTGAGCGCGATGGCGTTTTCATTTCAACATTTCCTGATTTTGTTGTTCGATTAATGAACAACTCGAATTTTCCATGACAATAGCCACAGCGTTTTAGTTGAACATTGAGGGATTTCGAGTGTCTTCCGATACTGTAAAGAGAAAAAAAGTTAATATTTTATAGTGGGAGGAAAATTTTTTATTTTTTGTTTACCTGTATCCACAATTTGTACACTTGTACGTGAATTTCGTGTGAATTTTATAATTGTGACACACGCTGACTGGTGGTAATTCGGGAAACACTTTCATTGCTTTTTTTGCCCTGGAAAAAAAATTTGAATAAAATTTCGTTTATTAAATTTTATGATCGTTGCAGTAAAATTTTCCAAATGAACGAAATTTATTTCTTTTTCCTTTGAAAACTTTTTTTTAAATTGTTATATTGAATAGACAAAGAATGTAAATTCAGCATAATTTTTTTAATATACAAAATATTTTTCAACAAAATAGGAATTTAAAGAAGTACAAAAAAGTCGTTCATTTTAACGTTCGAAACTTTAGGAAAATTTAAGATCCACAAGTTTTGAGGAAATATTTTTTCATAAGTTACTAATTACTAATTAATAATTTTTATAATAAAAATCAGAAACTTAAATTTTACTTTTAGAAACTTTAATAATAATTTTTTTGATAGTGTCGCAATTAATAAAAATTCAATTTGAGAAATAAATAAATTTCGTTGAATTTTCGATTTGAATATTTAAATTCAATTAAATTTAATATTTTTTTTTAAGAAAATAAAATTTAATAATTTAAAATTATTTACCATGCTTTCCAAATCGGTCCATGACCGTCTGAAAGTTCGTTAATTATCCAGGAAGCTGCGTGACACAACTCGTGCACTAAGGTATCTCGTAATCGATCTGGCCTGTCCAATACCTAAAAACAATTATTAAATTAATATACAAATTATTTCATTTTTCCAATTTATCTAAAAATATTAACTTTTATATATCTTTTCTACTTTTTTCACTTTTCTAAAGTTTCGAACATAGGATTTTATTCAATTGAAAAAAATATTTTTTTGTACTCTAATATTTTTAAAAATTACTCGACTGAAATGAAAAATATTCTAATTGAACATTTTTTTCTTTTAATTATAAAAAATAATAATTTGTAAATAAAATTCAAAGTATGTAAAGAGAAGTGAAAAGAAAAATCAAACCTTAGTTGATAATACAATTCTCGAAGATCTGGTTACTGTTCCCATGCTCTTAATTGATTTTTTATTGTAACAAAAACCAGCAGTTCCTCGCATTCTTGCACTCCAATCAATTAGCATATCTTTCGGCAATTTATTGTCGAATATTTTTTCATTATACATGGTGAAAAGCTGTTGACAAAGTACTTCTTTTGTTTTCTTAAAATTTTCTCGAAAAACTCGCGCGTCCGGATGGGCATTATTTATTGATACCGAAGCATTCAAGGAAGCCAAAAAGCTGAAATTTTTCTTTATTGCTGAGCTCTTGGCATTTATTGAATTCGTAGCGTGTTGGAAATTTTTTGCAATAGCTAAAACAAAACATAATGATATTAATAATAAAAATAATAAAAATAATAAATATAAAAATAATAAAATAATAATAATAGGTAATAATAAAAGTACAACTTTTCATGGCTTTAAAGTAGAGTTTCATTAATTTAAAAAAATAATTGAATTCTTTCCGAAAATTTTATTTAAATTTTTTTAAATAATAGAATTTCTGCGAAGAATTCTATTATTTCAGAAAATAATTGAATTTCTGCAAAGAATTTTAATAAAAATTATTAACAATAATTGAATTTCTGAGAAAAATTGCATTATTTATGAAAATAATTGAATTACTCGAAGAATTTTATCAAAATTTTTGAAAAGAGAATTAAATTTTATTATTTCTCAAAAAAAATAATTGAATTTCTCAGAACAATTTTATTAATTTTTCAGAAAATAATTCAATTCTTGATAAGAATTTTATCAAAACTTTTGAAAATAATCCTGAGAAGAATTTTATTATTTATGAAAACAATTGAATCCTTGCTAAGAATTTTATTAAAATTGTTAACAATAATTGAATTTCTACGAAAAATTGCATTATTTCTGAAAATAATTGATTTTTTGCTAAGAATTCCATCAAATTTTTTAAAATAATCGAATAACTGCAGAGAATTTTATTATTTATTAAAACAATTAAGTTCTTGTTAAGAATTTTACTAAAATTGTTAACAATAATTGAATTTCTGCGAAAAATTTTATTATTTCTGAAAATAATTGAATTCTTGATAAAAATTTCATTAAATTTTTAAAAATAATTGAATACCTGCAGAGAATTTTATTATTTATGAAAACAATTGAATTATTAAAAGAATTTTAACTAATATTTTAAATAATTGAATTCTTTTAAGGAATTTAAAAAAAAATTTGAATTCCATCAAATTTTTTTATTAAAATTATAGAAAATAATTAAAATAATTAATATAGTTAATATAATTGAATTCTCTTGAGAAATTTTATTAAAATTGTATATTGAAAATAATTGAAACTCACGTCTTTTTATCACAGTTTTCGGTTGTATAATATCTTCCGGATCAAATTCGCTGGTCGAACTTGAAGATTCTTTATCACTGAATGACAATTTTCTCCTATTATTAAAGTTATTTGTTTTTAAACTATCTATTGGTTCTTCGTCCGTTTCAGGATCACAAATTGCCATTGCCCTGTAAAATATAATAGTTATTTTCTTTTTTTTATTTGAATTTAGTTTATATTTAAATGAGAATATTAAGAAAAATTAAGTGTTTCATTTAACGAACCTTAAGGTTGCAGTTGATGCAGGTGTATTAGTTATTTTTTTTCTATAAGTTTTTTCCGGATTGGTAACAGCCGTGTAATAAGAACTGGGAACACTTCCGTCACTTGACGAATTGTCATTAATAAAAGTGTCAATATTTTTCCTTTTTGTGGTCGCTTTTACCTCCGTCCTTACTTTTCTGGTTGAATTCAGCGCTGGTCTTACATTTTGTATAACTGGAGTTAACAAATTAAATTAATTAAAACGAAATTAATTAGAAACAAATTACTTAAAGACAAAAATTGATTAAAAATAAAAATAATTAAAAAAAAAATTATAATAAATTTTTTCAAAAATTTCGAATTCGAACCTTTTTGAAATTAAACAATTTTAAAAAATTGTTATAAAACATGAAGAAATCGATCACTCCGAGTCTTCGATTCGATGCAATCCATATCTTCCTGTTTTATAATAATAATTAATTAAAATTTACCGACTGATAAAATCATTATTTTATATTAGAAGAATATTGTTACTGTAACTTATTCAAAATTATTTTTATCATTTCAATTCATTTATTATTTTCAAGAATTTTTAATTAAAATTCTTCTTTAAATTAATTATTTTTAATAATTTTTGAAGAATTTCTTTGAAAATTTCCAAAATCTTTTGTTTAGAATTCAATTTTTTATGAAATTTTGATTTTTCGGAAATTCTTCAATTAAAAATATATTAGAAAATAAAAACTTGAAATAATTTTAAAAAAATCCAATTAAACTTCTTAAAAATTTTTTGGATAAATTATTGAAATTAATTAAATTTCTGCGAAGAATTTTATTAAAAATATTTTGAAAAAAAATATATTTGCTAAAAAGAGTTTCATTAAAATTTTTGAAAATAATTTAATTCTTTAAATAAATTTAATTAAAAATGTATTGACAATAATACTTAAATTCTAATAAATAAATTATAAAAAGACTCTTTAAAATAATTGAATTTCTTTGATGAATTTTAATAAAATTTTAAAGAATAATTACATTTTTCGAGAAATTCCATTTAAATTGTATTAAAAATAAATTGAAATTCTGCGATGAGCTTTATTATTTATGAAAATAATTGAATTATTGCGAAGAAATTTATAAAGAATTTGTAAATAATGGAATTCCTTTGAAATTTTTATTATTTAATTAATTCATTCAAAATTGAAATTTAAAATTTAAAATTACAACCTTTTGAAGTTTATCTATTTATGAAAATTGTAAACGCAACTCTTTTAAAATTGAATAATAAAAAGAACTAATTTTTAAGAAAATGCTGAATTATTTTTCATATCAGTTCAGTAATTTTTCAAATCATCAAAATATTCCAACAGAAAAAAATGTTTCGTTCATTTTTTCATTCAAAACTTTAGGGAAAATTATTATTCTCACATGATCCACAAGTTTTGAACGTTTACATGAACGAAATATTTTTTATTAAAAATATTTATTACAATAAATTAGAATAAAAAGTTTTTATTAAAAATATTTTCATAAATTACTGATTGCAAAATAAAAGACTAAAAATATACATTTAAAAAATGTTGAACAAATTCTTTTTGATATTGACGCGAAATTATTGCAACAAAAATTCAATTTGAGAAGAAATAAATAAATTTCGTTCGTTCATTTGAACTTTCAGAACTTTATGATCTGAATTTTCAAAAACTTAAATGAATTTATACAATTTTTTAACTTACACTTTCCAAAATCAAGTTCTTCCTCACTCTCAGAATCAGTAGTTAATCGTAAACGTGGTTTTCTGAAATTCAAACGATTTCTGTTAATCAGAAGGGAAAAAATATTGTAATGGTAAAAAATATAAATAATAATAATTGTAATACCTGTAAATATTTGTAAAAAAATTTACAATTTTGTCATTCATGATAAAATATTTGTAAAATGGTTTTTTAAAAGAAAAAAATTATTTGATCCAAATAAATGAATACTTGTCTAACAAATATACTTGTATCAGATAATTTATATTTGAGTCAATTAAATTTGTATTTGCTTCAATTAAATTTGTATTTGCTTCGAATACCGAAATTATTGGTTCAAATATGCTTTATTTGAATAGTATTTCAAAATTATTTGAATCAAGTGAATATTTATTTGATAATAGTCAAGTATTTGGTTATTTGAATCAAAATTTTTTTTTCAGTGAATTACCTTTCAGTTTGTACTCCTCGATCTTTTTTAACGACCTGTGGCTTTCTGGGTTCCGATAAAATAATATCGGCCTTTGCTCTCCACGTGTCTCCATACAATTTATCCAAAAAATCAATGCGATCATCACGTTTCTTCTCCGGTGGTTTTGACGTTTTCAAATCCACTGTCGGAGTAGTTGCAACATTTTTTCTCGGCGCAATCACAGTTACCGATTTTCCAGAAATAGTTTTAGTTTTCCTCAAATAATCGTCTATTCTCGTTTGTCGTTTACCACCAGATTCTGTTGTTGCTTTTGTGTTTGTCGATACAGTCAATTGATTATCAATTCGTTTAGTTGTATCGACAGTGAGTTGATTATCGATAATTGGTGTACGATTTTGAATTCGTTTACTTGTATTGACTTGATTTTCGTTAATTGGAGTACGATTATTAATTCGTTTATTTGTATCGACGAGTGTTAGACCACTGAGAACATTAATTGCATTGTTTATTGGAGTTTTTAATTCGGACAGTTCTACATTTCTTTTTTTATCGGAATGTAATTTAAAGAATTTTTTTCTATTATTCGGTGTCTCGTAATTAACTTCCAATCGTTCTAAACTGCTGTTACCGGAGCAAATACTATTTCTGTTACTGCCTGAAATGTGACTGAAGGAACTCTCGTTGTTGGTGTCGGGATTGTTGGACATTAACCAGTTGGCTATTTCTTTACGTTTTCTTGCTGAGAGATCATTGTAACCTGGATCGTTGTTGGCAATTGGTGGTGTTTGGAGAATTTCAAGGGCTCTTTCTTTTCGCACTTTTATCGCTTTTGGAGTACTTTCCTCTAATTCCGAATCAGTTTCAGCGATAATGTGCGATTTTTGTTGTATTTTCTTTTCAATTTTACTCTCTTTCGATTTTGTTGAATTATCCGATTCGGTTTCATCGATGATATTCGATTTTTTGGGAATTGGCTTTCGAGATGATTGTGGGGAATCGGATATTTGACTTTTGTCACTTTCACTGGCGGAGAAATAATTTAATTGCTTCGATTTGACGATCTTGAGAATTTTCAGTGCTTCCGCCTTGGAGAGTTGATGATTTTTAGTGACTTTTCTTGGAAATAATTTTTGATATTTCGTACTGCAATAACTTGGACTCACAGTCGATGCTTTTGGGTTTAATTGATTTTTTATTCTATCGATTGGTTTGGAAATTGATTTATTGAGATAATCTTGCGATTCTTCGATTGGTTTTGGAGTTGCACTCACGTGAGATATTGACGAGACTGGAGACGCTTGTCTTCTTTTGGATTTACCTTCGTTTGAAGATGAAGATTTTGATTTTGACGAAGCCGTCGATGCTGTATCGTCCGATGTATATAAAATACTACATCTTTGTCTTGTTTTAAAATTATTAAAAGGTTTGAAATTATTTGAAATTCTTCTCTTCCCGGTAAATCCAGTTGAAGTATTTTTTTGATCATTGTATTTTAGAATAAAATCTTCCGTATCGGATTCATCTGACGATGATGATGAAATGCAGATACTTTTGTCTTGAAATTGTTTTAAAATATCGGATTTTTTAAAAATATCAGATTTTTTAAAATCATTACCGTCACTGTCAGTCGAGTCGCTAATGACAATTACTTCTTTTATTTCTGAATTAGACGATTTTTGTTTACTTGATGAACTGGTGAATTTGTAGCTTTGTGTTGTTGCATCGTCAATGCTGTAATTCTGAGTCTCTGATAATCGTAAAACAATATTTGAGGAACTAGTTGTTCTTGTTGATGCTGTTCTTGAAAAGTCGTCTGTTATTTGTAGTTTGTCACTAGCACTCCAATTTTCTTTATAATCATCATAAAGACCTCTTCTTGACGGTTGGTACTCTAGAAATGCAGATAATTAAAAATTAGTCAAAGTAATTTTTCCCTTGTTTAATTTTTAGTACCAAAAAAATATTTGAGAAAGAAAAGGAGAAAAGAAAAAAATTCGGATAATTAAAAATTAATTTTCTAGTAGGTTAATTTTTAGTAACAAAAAATATTTGAAAAAGTGAAAAGAAACTAACAAGAAAAGTCTTCTCTACAGATAAAAATTGACCTATATTTAAAATTATAAACACGTGTTACTCTCAACTTACAAATTCAAACAAAAACTTACTTTTCGTACTATTTGTTCTCCGATTAGTCACAAAAGACTGCATGCTTGTTGTAAAATTAACAAAACTTGTCACTAAATTCTAAAATTAAAATTCCTCCTTTCGCATTGTATATCGTCACCTAAAAATTAGATTTAAAAGATCAGTCACAGCTCAGTCTTCAAAAGAGAATATTGCACATAATATACTATTTTCTGTGAAAGTATATTTCTCGTAAATTCTCAGTATTTTCCTTATATCTCTGATTTTGAATCAAGGTCATCGTATATCAATATAAACACAAATTATATTAGAAAAAAATTCAGACAAAGTATATTATGAAAAATCTAAGGTTAGGTTATACAATTTAAAGTAATTTTTGAATTAAAAACTTTACTTTCGTTAAAAAATGATCAAAAATAAGAATTATTATTAACCACTGCGAATACAGATCACTTATATCGAAGTTAATTTAAATTAAAGTACAATTTAGTAAAAAATGAAAATTTTCGACAAACTTTGGAAACTTTTGCCGATGATAAACAAACAATGGGAAATAATGAATTTACGTTTTTTCACAACACAATGTAAAATAGATTCAGTTAAATCAATCTATTTTAAGTGAAGATTTATATTTTAATCAAATTTGCAAACCTTTCAGACAGAATAATGTACAATTTTTAGGATAAAATTATTGTTTACACTTGTAGCGTTTAAAAGTACATTTTAAAGTTATTTAAACGGTAATTTTTCGATCGATAAGTTAGTTTTCCTGAAAAGTTGGCGCATTACCGACAGATGGAAGAACTACGAATTTCCGGAAAATTTTTTAAATTCTCTAGTTCAGTTTTAATATTTATTGGTTAATTAATATAAAATTAAATTGAATAGATCTAAAAGAATATATAAATTTATAGCACTATTTTTGTTATTAATCATAAATTGTTTTGATAATTTTAACAAATTTTTGAATTATTACGCCTTGTTTGCATACACTGAGAATTGCAATATGCAGGGAGTGAGTACTGGGCTTTATACTTTCCGTAGTCGGCCATTTTGGATTCCTCTGCCCACATTTGCGCACAAGCTCCGCGCTGCTTTTGTTTAGTGTTTAAATCCAAGAAATCTGGAGGAATCGTGTTATTGTTTAGGAAAAGAGTATTATTTATAATAGTGAATTAGTGTTTTTTGTGTTATTAGTGTCGAATATTTGGGGAGAATTCGAAGCAAGCGGAATGAACTCGATGTGTGATGCAAATCCAATCTCTTGACAGTGGAAAGCAAGAATGCAGAAAACTTCGCCGGTGAGTGATTTAATTTTGTTTTTCGTCTGTCTTTCTCTATTTCCAAAGGGGTTTTTTTTCTCAAAATTGAGAAACGGACGAATGAGGAATTAATTTTGCAAAAATTGGAAAGTTCGTGTAAGTCGAACTTAACCTCAAAATTTGCAAGTTTTCTATTATCAAAAGTCTTGTTATTTTTTTATTTTTTAATTATAACGGGATAGGAAAAAATAATATGTGTCGAATATTTGTAGACTTTCGACTGCAAAATTACAAGAATTGTATGCTAATCAATTATTTAAAGCTAATAATAAGCGCAAAGTATTTTTCCGTACAGGAAATCAATATTTGTGCAACTTTTTGAATGTGAAACAAAAGAGTACGGTGAACTTGTGATAAATTGTTAGTAAAGTGGAATAAATTTTGTCAGTGCACTAAAATAGGATTTATGGTGAAAAAAAAAATTTCTCTGGAAATTGAACATATTTTCCATTGTCATAAAAAAATTGTCGTTGAATCTATTGCTGAAAGTTTTTCTCGATACATTTTTAGCGTATAGGTATCGTACATTTAGAAATTGAGGGATAAACCAACAAGTGTAATATTTAGCACATGGGACGCATATAACACTTTACGTTATTGCCAGGTGTATCGTAATATATTTTACATCAACATTCTATTCATAACGCAAGAAGTTCCGATATTCAGTTTATTCAACACGTAAACTGCTGCAAATTAGGTTGAATATTGAAGACATTATGTAGAAATGTGTATTATTTTGTATAGTTACCGTAATTAGTACACGTTGTATAAGGTTTATTATATATACGTCCATATAATAGGACGTAGAATTAATTATTACTTAGTGAAATAAGATTACATAAAATAACATAAAGATTAAATTTATGAAAATATATTCATACATTCTGAAAATATATTTAAATAAAATCCACCCTCCATTCACGTATATGAATGGTCAAATTTTACTTTTCGCAATTCAACTCTTAGAGGGTATTTAAAATTCTAATCAGAAAAAAATTTAGAGATTTTTTTAAAGATTTCTAAAGTTTTCTAAAGGTTTCTAAAATTAAAAAAAGGAAGAAAAAAGAGTTGGAAATTATCTTGAAGGTCAATTAATAGAATCGATTTTAGTTCCCTGTTCTCTATTCTTCCGTTAATCTCAAATTACAAATCTCCTAGATTTAATCTCTTTAATTATTTCCTTTCTTAACTTGATTAGATTCTCGATTTCTATTATATGGCGGAATGAATTATTTTAGAAAAAATCTTTTTTTAACACTGATTTTCGAATTCATTTGAATAATACTTTTTCGGTGTCGCGTACGATTTCTTTGACGGATAAATATTAAATTCTTCGGTAAGAACATATTTGCAATTCCAATATTACTTTTCTCGTCTAAATTGAATGGGAAAACTTTTAAGAATTTGACACGTTTACTTTATGACAGTTTATCGAGTTTGTTTTTCAATTTTTTTTTGTGAAGCAAAGAGAATATTTTTCTTCCACTATCAGACTAGGGCATTTTTTTAAAGGAGCTTTTCCCGAAAAATATTTTCTTTTAATAAAATATATTTTAGAAAACTCGTAAAGAATATAAAACTAAAAATCTATTTTTATTTTTCAATGTGACAATAAAAGAAATTTATTATTTTTTTTGAAATATGAAAATATAAAAAAAGAATAAATTTTCAAATATGAAAATATATAAAAATTATTTTGATATTTTTGTAAAAAGCAGAATATAATATTTTTTTGTGAATTTATAAACCTTTTAACGAAAGAAAAGATTTCGTTTCACAATGAAATTTATTTAGACGTTAACTATGAAATATAGTGATTCCATTTGGTGTAAAGAGCTTTCGTATGAAAAAAGAAAATATTAATGCCCATCATTTTCCTTTTGCTAACTAAAGGGTAATTCCATTTTCCATTCTCCGTACTTTACATCTATATTATAAAGTCTTATCTTCACTTCATTTCACTGAGACTCGAAATAATAGGATATGTATATATTTGGGTAGAATATAAATTATCGCAAAGTTAGAAAATCTTTCCACGTGTATTATTTCCAGTAATACTAAAAAACAGAGAAACTTTTTGTATTTCGCGCAAAAGTAATTTTAAATCATCCCGGATTATGTTTATTTTTGATATATGCAAATCGTGTGTAATTAAAAACGAAAATCTTTTTTCTGTTCTTTCTGTGTTTAAAATGGAGCTTATTTCATTTTTAAATAATTACTAGCAACAATTCGCTCAGCTGACTTCTCGCTCACTTTTTAAATAAAAAATTTTTTAAATTAGAAAAAAATTTTTTAAATAACAGAACATAAACATTTTTAATTAAAATTTTTTTTTATAAAAATTCAATTATGTTTAAAATTTACCAAAAAATTTCGACAAAATCCCAATTATTATCTTTATAAATAAAAAACTTCTTCTTCAAAATTAAATTATTTTCAAAAATTTTCATAAAATTCTTGTCAAAATTTTAATTATTTTCAAAAATTTTGCTCATTTCAATGATTTTCAATATCTACTATTTTAATAAAATTATCCAAAAGAATTCAATTATTTAAAAACAATTTTAATAAAATTTACGCAAATATTCAATTATTTTCATAAATAATAGAAATTTCACAGGAATTCAAATATTTACAAATTTTTTATAAGTTTCTTTTCGATAATTCAATTATTTTCAGAAACAATAAAACTCATCGCAGAATTTCAATTATTTTTAATACAATTTTAATCAAATTCCTTGAAAAATTTAACTATTCTAAAAAATTTTATTGAAATTCGTCAAAAGAATTCAATTATTTAAAAAATTGTTAATAAAATTCTTTATAAGAATTAAATTTTATGAAACATTCAATTATTCAATGAATAATTCACTTTTGTATTGAAATAATTGAATTCTCGTAGAATTTTCTAATAAAAATTGATTTAAAAATGAATTTTATTTTTTTTTTAGTTTTGTTCAATAAACTTTTTTCTTTTACTTTCTGAAAATTCAAAAATTCTCAGTTTCATTTTAAATTAAATTTTCTAATTGACAAATATAATTTATAAACATTTTTTTCCTTTATTTATAAAAAACTTTGAATTTTATTAAAACAATTTAAATTTTTAAATAAAATTGATTCAAATTATTTCCTTATGAAAATTGAGAATTTTCTACAAAAATATAAAGAAACGGGAATATCTAATGTTTTTCTTCCAAATTTCGATTTGTCAAACAATATTTTTTAAAGAAAAAAAAAACAAAAGCGTACACAGAAACCAACTTTAAACTGCGGACAGAATGAATAAAATAATACGAAGATTAATATAGTTAATTATTTAATTAATTAATTCACATGTCTATAGAGATTATTTATTATTATTTAATTAATTAGATTATTATTAATTAAATTTTTTAATTAAAATTTAAATTATATTAAAGTGGTGGAAAATATTAAATCATATTGAGGGATAACATTAATTTTATTACAATTCTCGTACACATGGAATTTTAGTTATAAATTAATTGCAATTATATAAACGATTTTAATTATAAATGAAAAAAATAAATATGCTTTTCGAACTTTTTCCTGTAAAGTTTCGAACGTTCAAATGAGTGACAATTTTTTTATGCTCTAATATTTTCGAAAAATTATAATTAAATATAATTTATTTATTTATAATAAAATTTATAATTTAGTTGAAAATTATTTTTTTAATTGTAAACAAATATTTTGTGAATAAAATTAAATGAAGTATAATAAAAATATGGTCGTTCATTTGAACTAATAGCAAAATTTTTTTACAATATGATACAATTATTCTACAAGTCGATATAACAATACAATAAATTACAAAAATAAAATTTACTTAATTATAAGACAATCGAGAAGAATAGTCTTGATAAAAAATGTTAAAAAAAATTTATCACATTTTTTATATTTCTATTTATTTTTTATACATTTATATATAACATCATATTTTGTTGCATTAAAAATATAAACATTCATTTGTCCAACGATTTTCAAATTTACAAAAAGAAAAAAATGGAAGAATTGATTGTGTTTGGGAAAAATTGATATTTAGAAAAAAATTGATATTTTTTATTTTAAAATTATTTTAATATAATACACTAGAAAAAAATTTATTTGATTCAAATAACCGATTACTTGTCTATTAACAAATAAAATATTTATTTGAATCAAATAATTTTTATTTAAAGTAAATAAATTTGAATCGATAATTATTTGAACCAAAATAATTTCAGTATTTGAAGCAAATATAAACTGAATCATTTAATTAACATAAATAAAAATTATTTGATTCAAGTAAATATTTATTTGATGAACAAGTAAACGGTTATTTGAATTAAATAAATTTTTTTTCAGCGTATATTCTTTAATTTTAATATTTTATATTAGAAAAAAGTCTCTTCTTTTGATTGATTTGTTTTTGTTTTCGATGATAATGATTAAATTGGTGTTTCCGAAGGGACATTAGTTTCTTCTTTAACAGTTGTGTGACATTTTATTTGACCATTGCAATTTTGCACAACAACTGAGAATTTTGTCGATTCCAATAACTTTTCGGATGTTTCGTTGATATTAACTGCTTCCGATGCCATATGGCCCTCTTCTTTTTCTTCAGTAGTAAACGATCTCATTCGCCCCGAAGATCTCGAATTTTGTTTCGTGAGATTTAAACTTTTTCTGTAACACACAATTGTGTGAATTATTCTTCTGAGTATATATAGGTATTCAATATTTTGTTTTATTATATTATTTATGAAAATAAAAGAATAGAATCGTTGTGTGTCAATCAGAATATTGTATGTACATTCAATTTTTTATTCGCACGTCTAGTTTTTTCCTGTTCTCCTCTGATAAATGTGAATTTTGAAACAATGCAATGACAATGGAATTACATATATTTTCAAGCTTTCATGCTTTATTTATTTATTTTTTTTTGCTTTTGTATAACGTGTGTTAAACCATTTTCAAAAATGAAAAAAATTTATATTTTAATTACTAAGAGTGTTTGTTTTTAAAATTTCAATATTGATTCCATTCAATTTGGCTTTGTTCCAAATATTCTGAATACTTTCGACGTTTAAAAATTCTTTTTATCGTAAACACTTTGTTTATAAATTATTTTTATTTATTTGATTTGAATAAAAATTATTTGATTCAAGTAAAGATTTATTTTATACTTTAAATTCGCTGTAATAGTTCGAATACAAAAATTATTCTCAAAAATTTTAATAAAATTCTAAGAAACAATTCAACAAATTTTAATAAAATAATTATTATAAAAAATTGAGTTTTTGTATTTAAATAATTGAATTCTGGAAGAACTTTTGGAAAATTATTTAAATTAATTGATTCAGAGATGAAGTTTAGTTGAAAATTGTAGAAATTAATTGAATTCAGAAAGGGTTATAATATTGTAATTTTTAAAAATTATTAAAATTCATCAATTTTACTCATTTTCCGTAAACATTCATATTTTCCTGTAAAAAGAATTTTGTCAGGAAAAATAATTTTAATGTCAGTAAATTGTCAGGGAGTCAAAAGGAAATTGATAAACTGAAACTTGTTACCACCCTGATAAAAAATTATTGCATAGCATTAAAGTTTTGAGAATGAGAATTTCGTTTAAAAGGAAATTGGATCGGAAAAATTTGAGATGTGTGAAATATTATTTTAGCCTTTCTGTATGCAAATTTGTTGAGTAGCTGATCGTCAGGAATAGTAATGTAGAGAAGTGTTCGAAAATTCGGAAAGTGGATTGTAAATTGCATATATATACTCAAGAGTTCTGGTGTCCAAGCTTTCGGGGTGCGGGTAAACTGTATAAATTCCACAACATGAGAAAGTGTCACATAAGTCACACAGAATACTGGGACAATAAACTTGGGCAGAATTAGGTGCAATATAGTGTGTAACACCTTTCCACTATGAAATTGGAATAGGACAGTATGTTTTTTTTATTTTTTTCCATTCATAAATGTAGCTGCTCTTTTTTGGAAAACACAAGTCATATATAGAGACAAATTCACTATAATTTATCTCACTAATATCCCCTGTTATTTATATTTTATACGGGACAATATATTACTTGCAATTTTTTGTTTTTTTAGCAGTTGTACATCTTCATTTTTAGATAAATTCTTCTCTATACGATTTGGACTACATTTTTTGACTTCTTATTCAAAAGAGAAACCAGTTGGAAATTGGTCCCTGAAGTTAGTGTAGAGAAAATTTTTTTAGCGAAATAATGAAAGTTAGTGATATTTTGAGTTACTCACATTAAAATTACTTTCCCTAACAAAATTCTTTTTACAGAGGAAAATATTAATGTTCACGTGAAATGAGTAAAATTTATGAATTTTAATAATTTCTAAAAATTATAATTATAACCCTTCCTGAATTTAATTATTTTCTACAATTTTCAACTAAACTTCATCTCTGAATCAATTAATTTAAATAATTTTCCTCGGAGTAATCGATATTTTCATGTTTTAATTTATTTTTCTAAGTTTTTGAATTTGAAATTTTTGAAAATCTGAATTCCTATGGAAAAATTATAATGATTAAATATTTATTTAAAAATGAAGTTATTGATGTTTTTTAATAATTTTACAATTTAGGAAATTCGTAAATAAATGTAATGGAACATTTTTTTTAATAACTTATAATTTTTAGAGTGAATCAGAATATTCTTTAGAGTCAGGGAAAAAGTGAAAATTTTGTCTGGAAATTAGGGAAAAACAAAATTCAATTTTTGTGGCAACTTTGTTAAGTAATTAAAGTATTTAAAGAAATTAACCATAGTAAGAAAAATAAAAATGAAATGATTATTAAAATGTACAAAAATGGTAAAAATGATCTTACTGTGAACTGCGATGATGCCTTTCAAAGAGACTTCGTACGCGAATAAGTTGAGATCCTCTTCTTGAAGATCCAAAGGGATCGCGAATACTACTGAGATCGTCCCTACCAACATGTGAGCCAGTCGATTTGCAACATAGTGTTTCCTTGAAGGCTACCCTGTATTTGGTACTTATTACATTGTATAAAATTGGGTTTACAGTTGTACTGAAGTAATACAATACCCCAGCAATTGGATACAACCAGTCGTTCACACTGGTCAAGGCTCCACTCTCGTCATAAACGTAGATCAACCTTTGCGCGTGAAATGGTGCCCAACAAATAAAGAATGTGATTACGACAGCAGCTGTATAAAAAGGGGAGAAAAATAATGTTTATTATTAGAAAGGTTTACCTTAAAAGCTTTAATAATTTCATTATTTTATTTTATTTTATTTAATTGTGCTCTTTCTTTCGTTTGTATAGTCATAATTCCCAGTAGTTTTATTATAGTTATTTTTCACTTTTTCATCTAAAAAAAAAGTGGACCGTAAAAAACTGGGAATAAGCCAAGAACTTTATGTCAAACCGGGAATTTTTTTATCAAATTAAAAAAGGTTTTATTATTTTAATTTGTTTTTAAAAAATCGCTTTTTATTTCAATTTTTACAGATATTTATACTGTTCTCTAAATTCGAATCAGTTAAAAATAATTATATAATACGCTGAAATACGGAATAATACGGAGTAATAAGCAATATTACGGAATAATACGCAATAATAATTGAATTTTTATAAATAAATAATTGAAAATTTTTGAAATAATTGAAATTTCTTTACATTCTATTAAAAATAATTAACTTCTTTTAAAGATTTTTTTTTTTAATTTTTCAAAAATAATCAAGGGAAGTTAGTCACCGTAATTATAATTTTATTTTTAAAAATTTCTTCGCAATACATTCAATTATTTTCTTAAATAGTAAAACTCATGGTAGAATTTCAATTATCTTTAATACAATTTTAATCGAATTCCTCGAAAAATGTAATTATTCTTAAAAATTTTATTAAAATTCGTCGAAAGAATTCAATTATTTCTAGAAACTGGAAAAAAATTCTTCTTAAGAATTCAATTATTTCCATAAATAGCAAAATTCTTTAGATTTACTAAATTCTTTTAAATATTATTTAAAAAAAAAATTCTTCACAAGAATTTAATTATTTTCATAAAATTCCATAAAATTCTAAAAAACAATTCAATTATTTTCAAAAATTTTAATAAAATTTTACACAAACATTTAATTATTTTCATAAATAATAACATTCTTTGGAAGGATTCAATTACTTTTATGAATAGTAAAATTCTATGCAGAAATTCATAATTAGTATCAGTACATTTTAATAAAATTTGAATTAATCAAATTTTCAATTATAATTATGAACAGGCAAGATTATTTTAAAAAATTGAAAGAATTCTTTGTTTAATTTAATTATTTTCCAAATTTTTAATTAAAATTATTAAAAAAAAACAATGTTTTCAAAAAATTTAAAGAAACTAGCCCAAAGAATTTAATTATTCATAAAAACTCTAATAACAATTTTTAAAGCCATTTGTAGATTTATTTATGTTCGAAATCAAATAAATTTACACGGAGAGACCGAGATTACTAATTTTTGTATAAAATCACACTAGAATTTACTATATTCACATTGCAACCACCGGAAATAAGGGGACTTTTTGTATTTTTTACTATTTTCTACACTAAGTCACTAATCCCGACAAATGTTCACCAAATTAGCAAAGTTTCTTACTATTTCGTCCAATAGTTCCAAACAACTGTAGTAAAACTCAGAAACATTGTGTACGTAAAATTACTATAGTCGTTGTAAATGCAGAAAGAAAGAGTGAAAAGAAAAAATACGGATTTTTGTCGCCGGTTTCCCGTCAATTCTTGACTAGTGGAGGTAAACTGGAAGGATTTTTACATACACAGACACACACACTCACACACTTATATATTTGTTTTTGGATAAATATTTGAAGACACACACATGTTTATTTCACTTATATGTATAGACGCGGTTAATTAATACACTAATACACAACTGTACGCACGACGACGAATTTCACTGAAAGTATACATCTTTGTTTCCTTATACATTGAATGATGAAAATTTACAGCACTTACGAGAAAGCAGTTTACTTTTAACAACTTATTATAAGACATACTTCTTGGGACAGGAATAAATGCAAAATTTATTAATTTATAATGGTCAATTTCTGAGATACCGAACGACCTACGTTTCACTTTATATTTAATTATTGTAGATAATATCCAAATTTATTTTACATACGCGAAACATAGTCACTGTCAATGATCGGAAGGCATCGGCTCATTTACGGAGATTGACGAGGTTAGCAACCAATAGAAATACAGGCGCCATATGACTGCACTCGCTAGCCACACTTGCTCACCAAAAATTACTACAGTGGATAGAAGATTTTAGTGGAAAATGTTTTCATTTGTCAGATTTTGTCTAATTAAATTAGAGAAAACTATAATCAATTTTCGCTACATTTACAACTCTTACACAAAATATTAAAACTTGCTATTTCAATGTAGCAAATTTATCTATTTCTTTTGTAAATTTATCTAATTCTGTAGTACATTATGCTAAAAGTCCCCTTATTTCCGGTCATTGCAACCGTTTTTAGTAATTTTTACGAATGTGGGTCTCTCCGTGTAAATTTGATAAGAAAAAAACCGGGAAAAATTAGGACAAAGCCGGGAATTTGGTTGAACGAAAATAGTAAACACCCTGTTTAATAATTTAATTATTTAATTTTATTTAATTATGACCTTTCTTACGTTTGTATAGTCATAATTCTCAGTAGTTTTATTAGTTACTTTTCACTCTTTAATTAAAAAAAAAGTGGAACTAAAAAGTTTAATCTAAATTCAAAACTTCTTAGAAGGGATTTCGAATATTCTTTGTTTGAAAACTTTTCGACTATAATATGGTATGAAACGAAATGTCGTTAATTTTAGAGGATTTTCCTCTTAAGGAAGAATTGGACAAACAGTCGCAACATATGTTAGTCCAATTCTATTATATTTTAAATAAAAAGACAAATTTAATTTTGAATTCGTTTCAGGTGGAAATGTGAAGAACTTAATTTTTAACGTTTTGAATATAATTTAAAACAGCATTCAAATATAAAAACTATGTACAATTTTCTGTCAATAGAAAACAGTCTAAAATTTAACGAACATTTTCAATTGACGAAATTATAATTTTTATTTAAATGCAATATTTAATTGTTTAAAATGTTCGAAATTCAATTCTTTATCTTTGCAATGAAAAAAAAATGTTTAATTTAATTTGTTTTTTATTTTAAAATACGAAATTGTAGATTTGTAGTAACTTTGGTTTTGAATGTCCCTAAGATTCTTCCTTAAAAGGCGACATAAAAATTACAGAAAGTAGGATATGTTGTTAAGAAATTAAAAAATTAAAAAGTATAGGAAAATTCCTCTCAAACGAAAAAAATATTTTTTTTTTTGATGCAAGTTCCTTTTAATTTTCTTGGCGAACTTTGATTGTTAATTATGAAAAGTGTAAAATTCAAGAATTGCACAATTCACTTTGCTAATCTTTCTTTTTCTCTACTTATTGATGTTGGTGTGTTTTAAATCTTGAGGGCTAAGCCAATATTGTTCATCATTCATGTGCAACTTCTTCGGTCTGACTTGAGGCTTGGCTCTACTACTTGAGATAAAAGTAGTTAGAGTAGATACGTGATCCGACACATTGATGGGTGGGCGGGAAGCAAAGTACACGAATTCTAAAGTTCAAACGTATCATTTTTGCCCTCGCGATTTTTCTCCCTTTCTTCTTCTTCTCCTTCTATGCATTTATGAATAAATATATTCTTCTCGTCTTTTTGAAAATTCGTCTATGAAAAATATACACTTCGTCTGACTCTGACAGTGAATTAGGTTACTAAAAATTATATAATATAGTAAATAAATAAAGTAGTAACTAAAATCAGGGTTTCTTCAAGTCATGGAAAATCTGGAAATCATGGAATTGTCATGGAATTTCATTTTGATTAATGGAATCATGGAAATCTCATGGAATTTTTTTTAGTTTTTGTTGTAAACCCGTGTGATTAAAATTCGCGGTACTTTATTACTCAGGGTGGTCACAAGTTTCAATTTATCAATTTCCCTGACAATTTACAATTTTCAATTTTTCGAAAATAATTGTATTTCTTAAAAGAATTTTTATATAATTTAAAAAACTAATGAATTTTTTGATGAATTTTAATTAAAAATTTTGAACATTATTGCTTTTTCAAAAATGTTAAAAATAATTCTAAAATATTATTATTTTGGAAATATGTAATTAAAAATATTAAAAATATTGAATTTTAAAAAATTAGAAGCAAATTTTCGTTTTTAAATTAACCTTTAAAAATTTTTTATTAAAATTTTTGATAATTCAATTATTTTCAAAATTTGCGATTAAAATTCTTCAAAAGTTGATTTTCAAAAATTGCAACAAAATACTTGAAATAAATTAATTATTAGGGGAGCGTGGTCCTAAGTTGGCCGTGGGCCTAAGTTGGCCACCCTGCATTTCTCAGAGATGGTATACTGGAAGAATCTATAATTTTGTGGTATCATATATTGATAAACCATGATATAATTTATGGACCTAATTATAATCTAAGATTCTTCTACGCATTGTGAGGACAATAATATTGTTTTCGACCAAAAAAATTTGATTTTTCTTGTTTTTTCGAGAGCAGCTACAAGAGATAAATAATTCAAAATTTCTAAATGAGTGTGTGCGCAAGTTCCTTTATTTAATGTTGTAATAAGAGGTTCTGTTGATTTTTTAATTAAATTTTTTTTTAGCGTAATAATTTGAAACTTGTAAAAATCTACAGTGGTCCTAAGTTGGCCACCTATTGTTTTTGTTTGTTTTTATTTATGTTTTGCTTCTTTTTTGTGGTTTTCATCACGAGAAAGACCGTAAATGTGTAACGTAGGAATTAAACAAAGACAAAAAACAAAAAAAAAAATGGTTTAAAAAACATTAGAAAAGATATGGTACAAAAACGCCTGTCTCCACAGCCATCCACCACTGAAAATAAATGAAATAAAATATGAACAAAAAAGTTTTGAACGTTCAAATGAACGAAATATTTTTTGTTAAAAATATTTTCATAGATTATTGATTACAATTCAAATTAAAAACTCAAATTTTACATTTAGAAACATTATAATTAATTTGCTTAATAGTGACGCAAAATTATAGTAATAAAAATTTAATTTGAAGAAGAAATAAATAAATTTCGTTCATTTGAACGTTCAAAACTTTAACCTCCTAATAAAATAATGCTTCATTTTCTAAACAAAAATAGTTAAATAATGCGTTTTTATTCTCCTAAATGTATCAAATTTGTAAAATTTCTGCGTAATTGAAAAGAATATGCATTTCTTCCTTATACACAAGCGAAAAAAAGGGGTGGCCAACTTAGGACCGCTTTTCTGAAATGTCCAAAATGCAGCTTTTAACTATTTATTGTATTAAGACTACAAAAGCTATTCTATAACGATCTAAATACCACAAAATTATAGCAAAACGATCTCTGAACACTAATATATACTGGCCGAAGTGATTAAATTTCATTTTGTCACTATTTTCGACCAATTTGCTTAGGGGTCGTCCATATACCACGTGGACAGTTTTTCAAAGATTTTTGACCCCCCCTCCCCCCTTGTGGACACAAAAATACATGGGATCGTGGACATTTTCAACCTTTTTTTACCCCCCCCCCTCCCCCCAAAAGTGTCCACGTGGTATATGGACGACCCCTTAGGCGGCCAACTTAGGACCACTCTCCCCTATCAATTAAATTTTACAAAATTTTAACTATTCAAAAACAATTTTTGAAAAATTTGTTTATAGTTATTTCTTGCATTCTAAAAATCAAAATAAGTTGCAATTTTTTACTAAAAATTGTGGTATTTTGTTGCAATGTTTGGAAGAAAAGTCGAAAAAGTTACAATTTTTGAAAATAAGTTAAAAAAGTCTCAATTTTCTTAATTACCCTGACAAAAATTTTTTTTTATGACATTTACCTGACTTAACTGACAAAAATTTTGTATATAAATAGAAAATAAACAAAATAGTTACTAAAAATAAAATAGAAAAATATATAATAGAAAGTAAATTGTATTTTATATCAAATTAGTAAATAAATTAAATAATTTCAGTCGAAGAATTATATGATAACAGAAGAAATAAATCTTTGAAGGAAATTTATTTACATTTTTTTTATTTATCTTCATATAAATAAAAAAAATCTTATTTAATTTTCGTTTCTTGACGTCTAAATAATTAATTGTAGATTCACTGAAATATCAATAATCATATAATTATCATTTGCATATTGAATATTAAGTTGTGTGATTTCCAATCAGTGAATTGTCTAAAATGTATCCGCATTTGCAAAATGCACTATCAATCTCGTCAAGTAGAATGATTGATTGAAATAAAGACGTGATCTGATTGAAATAGTTTGTTTGACATTGCACAAGGGTAAATTTTCTATAAACAAATTAAAATTATTACGTATTCAAGGCACAATTTTTCTTGGTAAACAAACTCTATAAAGAAATTTACATAAAAGTTGTGTATAAAACAATTCAGTTTTTATTTATTGAAATAGGTGTTTTTATAAATTTTTTATTTACTGTTTTTTACTGCTTTATTTACTATTTTTTACTGTTTTATTTACTTTTTTTTACTGTTTTAGTTCGTTTTTATTTATTTATACAGCAGTATTTATTTAATTAATACAAGAAACAAATTTTATTATTTAATTAATATATTAAATAAGTTTTATTTTTTAATTATACAAATAAGGACCCAGCTCTTATGCTTGAAACTTTTAAATATATGTTAATTTTACCCTTCCTGCTTTCACGATTTTATCACTGCGTTGCATATAGAAACTTTGTTATTAATCCTATTAAATTTAAACCAGACAAGCAAATTTTGTTTTTTTTAATTGTTTCGGTGAAATTTTTTCAATTTTTATTTATACTTAGTTTCCCCCCATCCGCCATTTAGCAGATAATCAAAATTTATTGAAAAAGACTTAAACATTTTTTTTTCTAATTTTTAATATTTTTCTCATCGGCAAATTACCTGATTTGTAATAATAAGGACTGATCCTTACAGGATCTTGAAGGATAGAATATTTTATTTCAAATTTTAAGAAGTAGCACTTTTCATCATGCTCCTACAATGTGGTTCTGTCAGGTTTACGTCGATTTTTAAATAAATGATCAGTAGAAATATTACTATTGGAATTAGTGACTAACTTTTTGCTTCTAAATCAGTTATTTTTAACTGATTCATGTTTAGAGAGTAAGGGCCAGTTTCACCAACTCCGATTAAAATTTAATCAATGATTAAAGTCAATTTAACCGCTAATGATTGGTCGGTTAAGGATTTAAACATTGATTAACTTTTAATCGGTGTTGGTGAAACTGACCCTTAATAGTAGTATAAAAGTAAATGATAATAAGAAAATAGAAAAATAGAATGCAGAAAATAAAAAAAAACAAGTAATGGAAAATAGAAAGCAGAAAATAGAAAGCTGAAAATGGAATAGAAAACAGAAGGTAAAAAACAGGTAATAGGAAATAAAAAATAGAAGAATAAAAAATATAAAATTGGAAGTAGAATTTATGAGTAATTTATACGTACTGAGCATTTGTATGATGGTCTTCTTGGATTGAGCGTGTCTGTTTTCTCCGTGAATAGTACCTTCGAGAGAGTGCCCCAAAGAAGTACTTTGTATCGTGCGACCCATTTGCGTGTAGAGTGCAACCATCAGCAGCATTGGTAATAAAAAAAATATCAAACAACTCAGTTCATACAGAGGAAAATCAGGCATATTGTCACGAAGCATTGCACACATTGCGGAGTCTGTGGAAATATTTTCCGATCCTGCAAACAAAATCCAAGACTATTTTAATCATGTTTATATTATAATCATTTAATATCATCTATTAATTTAGAATTTTCGAAAATAGCTCACTTGCGACGTACGTAAATAAGAAGTTTTTAACAAAAATCAAAATAGAAACAAAATTTTGATAGTGATGCATTAAAATTTGAATGCACCACTATCAGAATTTTGTGATGTGTTTGGTGATAGGTATAGTGGTGGAGCATTAAAATAATAAAACTATAATATAGTAATGCCATATCAGTTTATAGTTGGCGAATTGAAAGGGGAAATATTATAGACGTTAAAGTTTTATGTAGAATCGATGTCTATCAATAACAGTGAAACACGACTGAGAGTATTCGCCAGTTTCCCTGTGTTGGATATTGACGTGTAGTGGATTTTGAATACTCACCAATAGGATAGTGCAGGTAATTTACGTTGGTATACACCGCGAATGGAATTGCGCATACAAGTGCTAACATCCAAGCAAGGAGAATAAATCTCAGTGGACGTTTCAAGCCACTCATCGCATATAGATGCAGGGGATGACACACTGCGACGTATCTTTCCATTGAGAAGGCCACTATCGTTAATACTGACACGTAAGAAGACCTTTAAATGCATCAAATTACTTATTTTAAAATACTAATGTATCAAATTACCGAATTTTCTTAGGATATTAATATAACTTTGACTATGAAGTAACAAGGACAGTGCCGCTCAAAAGGATTTGCCCACCCTACGGCAAATAAATACATTACAAAAAGTTCTTTATTTTTATTTCTGCACAGAAGAAACGGTCATCTAATTTTAAGAAACTCCTACTTAAATAGGAGCCAAGAATATTCCCACTTAAATTAAGTAGGAAATATTCTTACAATAAGATTGATATTCTTATTGTAAGAATATTTCCCACTTAATTTAAGTAGGAAACATTCTTGGCTCCTATTTAATTAGGCGCTTCTTAAAATTAGATTATCGTTTTTTCTGTGTAGTAAAGATAAAATGTTCGTTAAGGTCTCATTTCAAAGCTAATGTTTTCTACTTTCATAATAACCAAACAATAAATTTAAAAAACAAGTTCTTCATTGTTTAAATGCGATTATCAATAAAAAAATTTTTTATTTTTGAGGGGTACTACATAATAATACAACATTGGTAGAAATGCAGCGTTTTCATAAATTTTCGTAAATAATAAATTTTCATAAATAATAGAATTTTTTTACAGAGATTCAATTATTTTCATGAATAATAAAACTCATCATAGAATTTCAATCATTTTTAATACAATTTAAATAGAATTCTTCGAAAAATGTACACTGAAAAAACATTATACTTAATTCAAATAGAAAAATAATTTTAAGTGATTTTGTAATGAAATTAGATTGTAAACTTAATCCCAATATATATCTACTGCTTTGATTCAAAAATAATATTTGTTTGAATAATTATGTTTAATTCAAACATATTTTCTATTTTAATTTAAACAAAAATTATGTTAAAATTTTATGGAAATTTAAATTATTATATTATTATTATCCGAGTCAAAGACTAGGAGTGATCCATATATCTTCCTATTTTCTAAAAATATGCTTATAAGCTGTTGAAATTCGAAAAGGTTTGAATTTCAAATTTTTGAAAATCTTAATTTCTATGAAAAAATAATAATGATTAAATATTTATTTTAAAATGAAGCTATTGATGTTTTCGAATAATTTAACAATTAAAGAAAAAGGGAAAAAGTCAAAATTTTGTCTGCAAATCAGGGAAAAAACAAAATTATTTTCTCCAACACTTGCTCTGAAAGGAGTACTTTTCTTGGTAGAAAAGTGTGGCGAAAGCAGAACTTTTCTCAACTGCTCTGAAGAGCGTGGCGAAAGTAAATCATGAATTTATTCTTTTTTCTTGTTCTTTGACCGAGATTTATTTTGTATCTAACTTCTTCCTCACTCAAAACATTCGTCTTTTATTATTATTAAACATAAGCATACGTTAAATTAAAATTATACGAAACTCACGAAGAAACCTTTCCTCGCAAGGCGTTGGAGAAAACGTAGTGCACAACTCGTGGTGAAAGAATGATTTTTCTCGAGTGTTTTCTCCACTAGTTGTACAATGTACTATTTTTGTGTCAACTCAACCCTGTATAACTAGTAACAAGTTTTTAATTTCACTGCATTTTCATTCCGAAATTTTTGAGTAAAAATACAAATAGTGTGAAACATTTATTTCATTGTTTACAAATATAAAAACTATATGTTATATGTTATATATAACTATATGTTAGAATGAATTTCGTGCATATGGTTAAAGTTTTAAACATGGAATTTAAGTTTGGAGGATCTCGCGTAAAAAGTCGTACTTGTAATAAATTTCCAATTTAGACTGACTTCCTTTTTCGCGGTCTGAGTTTGAGTAAACTTTGTATGAAGTCATGTTGTTTAGATAAGAAACAGTGCTCAAGTTTAGCTATAGATATTTAGTACCAGGAACGAGATCATTCCTCATGATAGAAATACAAATGGGTATGTCCGGTTCTTTTGACCAACTTTTTCGCTACTTCCTCTTTAATCCTCATGCATGAAGAAAGAGTATTTTCAAAACATTGATATTGTAAACAATATATAATTTAATATATATAATAATAACAATATATGGTATAATATATATAATATAAACAATATATGATATAATATATTTAATATAAACAATATTTTTAGTCAAATATGAGCAGTTTTTTTAAGGATTACAAATTGAGACAAAAAATGTATCAAAACGTTGCATCGCAACAATTTTGATACGTTTTTTGTCTCAATTTGATTTGTTTAGAAAAATTTTAAGTTAAAAAAGTGCTTGCATTTATTTTTTGTATAAATAGAGAAAGTTGGAAAAGCGGGCAGATAAAAATTACATAGCAGAAATCTTCTACTTTGCACAGCAAACAATAGAATATATAGGTTATGTGTATGTAAGATTGAGACTTACGTTTCTGACACAAATGCTCTTATTTTGCATAAAACAACTCCAAGCGCCCAAGGATATTGCTGCCAAAATACGTAGATCTCGTTCGGTAAACCTAAAACAACGATAAACTTTATTTACTTATCGTAATTTAAATTTTCTTCTTCATTATTGTTATCATTTTCTTCAATATTTTCAATAATATTTTCAAGTTATGTATATATATATATACAAACTATTATATCCATATAATTTATTTATTCTTATATTTTATAATAATATTATTAATTATTAGTTATTAATTATAAATATTATGAATTTTATGAATTTTATAAATTTTATAACTGAGATGAAGCAATTTTACATCAAATGAATTCTATTCACTTCATTTCGTTTATGAGAGAATTTTCATGCCGTCTAGGCGGCAGTTTAACGAACTATATTGGCGCGAAATTCAAACAAAGTAAAATTTGATTGATATAATAATATAATTAATTATAATTATAATAATTATTATATTAATAATAGTAATTATAATTATAATTATAACAATAATATATCTCATTAGCTAAAATTAGTAACCGATAATAGCACAGTTCGGTATCGCAATAATTTACAAAAGTTTAATTTAAATTAAATGAATTATTCGAGGCCGACAGGAAGACATTTTTCCTTGAATTAATTAACAAATTAAATGAATTTAATCTATAATGATATTGAACAAGGGTTTTATTGATAGGCGTGTCTATTATAACATCGGAAACTATAGATATATACCAGCTTTTCTCAATGTATCTTATAAACCGCTTATCTACTTCTCTACGTGATCAGTTTTGTTCTCTAAACCGCACGAATACTCTAAATTGGAAATTCCTACTATGTATTCCTTCAGATTTTGAAATTAGTTCATCGCCAAGTACATTGTCATTGAAATTTAAACTTAATATATTTTTTAAAACAGCAGAAAAAGAAAAAAAAAATTATTTTTCTCATAAAAATATGAATTATTTATATACCTTGGTAAAAAAAGCATTTTTTTTTTGTTTAAATGATAAATAGTTGTTTCATTCAGTATGCTATTCATCACTTGTTCCATTTCGTAAATCATCCGTGTATGTAGGGAATTAACAAATTTAGAGCAAAAGTTTTTTGTTACTAACTCTTTGGTTTTTTATTCGCAAAAGATTTGAAGAGTTTTTAGGTTTTTACATATAAAGTAGAGTTTCGCTTTTCTAGTTGATCTTCGCGAAAGTTTTTCCTTCTGTGTATAAATTTTCCTATTTTGTTCGCTATTGTTTAAAATTTTTTAAATTTAGCAAATTAACTATTTGAAAATATCGGTAAATAATATAGTAATATAATTTTATTTTGTACTATTTAAATAATTACACTATTAAAATATACTATTTAAATTAATATACAATTAAAATTAATAAACAATTAAAATTAATATACTTTTGAAATTAAAATACTCTTGAAATTAAAATACTTTTTAAATTAATCTACTCGTGTAATTAAAATACTCTTGCAATTAAAATAGTCTTAAAATTAATATACTCTTAAAATCAATATACTCTTAAAATCAATATTCTCTTAAAATTAATATTCTCTTAAAATTAAAATATTATTAAAACTAATTTCTATATTAAAATTAGTTTACCATTAAAATTATTTAAAATAACTATACTTTTTTCTTCTGTAATATTATAGTGTTTACTTATAATGTTGGACGAAAATTTGTGAATTCTTTTAAATACGCTATTTTCTTTTTTCTTCATTAGTACACTTTGAAAAGTTGAAGTCCCAAGACTTTAATTAAGTAAAAAAATCCATCTCACACTTAATTACTGTCAACGAGTTCCATTGTAATATGAAACTTAAATTTTTTCCTTAAAAAAAAAGAACGAAATTTTGTATATAGATGGGAAAAATTTTTTATTTTTAAAGCTAATTTCGTAAAAAAAAAGTAATCTTTTACTCAACTTTCTTTAATTAATTCAACAATTTTAATTAAAAATTTAAAACTTTCGAAGATATTTAAAATTAACTTAGAGGAAAACTATCTTTTGTGAAAACTAATTATCGTAATTATCAATCATTTATTGTTGTTAATTAATTTCGTTCTTTGTTCGTTAATTATTATTTTTTAATAATAATAAGAATACCCCTTATTATATTAATAGAAATAATAAAAGTAAAAAAATTATTAATTAATTTGTAGTTTTCGGAGCAAAAAATTATCACAATCTAATTGCGAGACATTTTTTTTAATAAATAAAAAAAAATAAACATAAAATATGTTTTTCTTATGATTTTTTATTCGAATTATTCAAGCATTTATGAAATTATGATAGATGGTTTTCGGATGATCGATTATATAGTCGCGAATAAAAGACAAAAAGATTATTTGAACAAAAATCCTTCTCTTACAAAAAAATTGGAAATTCAGAGAATTTTTCCACGTAAATGACTTTATTATTATTGAATATTAAAAGTTTTTATATTATTTTAAATGTACACTTATTTTAAACAAATTAAAAATCTCTCTTATTTTTTCAAATTAACACTTATTTTAAACAAATTAAAAAATTTTTTTATTAATAAAAGAATTTTTTAATTTTGATGAAAATTTTTCATCATTTTGAGGAAATTTTCATTTTTATTAAAATTAAGAAAAAATGCTCTTCGGAATTTTAAACAAAAAGTTAATTATTATTTTTTTTTGCTTTGGAAAGTTGGTTAGAAAAAAAATATAAATCAAGTATACGAGAAAAATTTTTATATATAAATCCCAAAAGGATTTGGATTTAATTCTTCAAACTGATACTTATGAATGACTCTTCCCCAAAGTGTGATCTATTCTGTATTTACATGTTCCATTTCGAATTCATCGATTTTCAAATGCGTATTTGAAAAACAAATATATTTTCTCACCTCCGCGAGTTTATCATATATTTCAACTCCTTTCTTTTTTGCTTTTTGATGAAGCGATAAAATGAATTTGAATAAAATTGTAATTTAAAATGTGAAACACAAAAAGATTTAGAATAGAGTAAAATGAAAAAAAAATTGTTATTTTGCTTTAAATAAATTTTTTAAGACTTAATAAAATTATTCTTTTCTTATAAGACAAAATTTTCTGTCTCGAAAATGAATTTTAAATTAATTAAAGTATTTTGTGGTCAATAAATTGCTAAATCCTTCTGGTGAACGAGAAACTGTTCTTAAGCTCAGCTAATTGGAAGAAATTACATTGTCTTCTAATAAATATTTTCCGCAGAAACATATTATTCTTCGTTCCCTCTATTTCTTCATTACGCAATTGTAATAAAATTACAATTAAAATTTTATTTTCTATACCGTCAACTGGGGCTATTTTGTGCATCCGGGGGCTATTTTGTGCACGCGAGTTTTTTTATGAAAAAAATTATTAAAATGAATTATTTTAATCTGCTATTTTGTAAAATGAAAGTTTGATTACATGACAATAGAGAGCACTAAATGTTATTATTTAATTCTTTGTCAATTAAGAGAAAAAAATTCCTAAAAACGGAAAATTTGTTTAAAAAATTTTGAAAGTTCGGAAAAATTATACCAAATCTTATAGAGTTTTAATGTGTTTCATAAACTGAGTTAGATATTTGTTGTCAATTGTGTTGTGATGATACATACGTAATGCGCTAATTTTTTATTCATTATTTTAAGAGAAAAGTGGAAAAAACTGAAAAACCAGGATTCCATGGGACTATTTTGTGCACTTAAAAAAATCAAATATTTTTCATAAATGTTTTATTTAGTAAGTAAAGAAGATTCTGTTTATCATTTTTATACATTTTTGTCTTACTTTTCTGTCAAAAAACTGTAAATACGTTAATTAAAATCATTAAAACGATTAAAAGCTCAACCGGTGCACAACGTAACTTCAAAAAATGAACATTAATTAATATTTATAAGTTTTTCAAATTAGTTTTAAAACTATTTTCTCGTTTCTCTTAAAATAACTTGAAAAGCATATTAGATATTAAATTGTTATCTATTTAACCTTAAAAATATTTATTTTAAGTTTTTTAAAAATATCATTCAAAACTATTAAAAAAGCTCCTATTGAAATGATGTTTTAAAGTTATTTATAAGTGTTTAAACGATCATTTTATAATTATATTAGTATATTATTATAAAATATATATTAAAAAAGAAAAAAATGTTATTAAAAAAATTAATGAAAAAAAAAAAAAAAAAAAAAAAAATTAATTAATTTTTTTATGTTAATTTGTTAAATTATTAACAATCTTTCTTTAAATTGTTTATTACGCAGATAGTAATCTGCGTAATAAACAATTTAAAGAAAGATTGTTAATAATTTTTAGTAAATTCAGATTTTAGCAAAATTTTAGTGCTTTATTTTACATTTTTTGTATTATATATCTACAAAAAAATTTTACTAGGTCATTCTTTTTTTAACTTACTCTCAAATATATACACAAAAGATTTCATGAAGCAGAAACGATTAAAAAAATGTTTACGCAACATTATAGGAAAACAAAGTTCGATGCACAAAATAGCCCCATCCCGGGAGTTATTGTGTGCACGACTTTCAATGACTATAACTAAGACAAAAAAATTTTTTTCTTTGCCAAATTTATAGGAAAGCTTCAGAAGGATGTCCACAACATATATCAAAAGTTGATTTTCTTTATTCTCTTAATTCTGAATTTAAATAAATCTTTGAATAAAAAAAAAGCTATTTGGTGCACAAAATAGCCCCGGTTGACGGTATATTTGTTTTCTACTTAAGGTTTGCTTTTTGCTCTGAATTTCAAAAAAAAGGAAAAATTATTTATTGATGTGAAAAGGAAAATGAAAAGCATTTCCTTTTAAGTTTCGTTTATTTCTCATTTTGCGTGTATTCTCCATCTCATTCGTGCGGTCGTTTTGAAAAGATTAAGATGCTGAGTTAAAAAAGTATATATACTCTTTGAATAAAACGTGATACTGAGTATATTTTAGAAACGCAGCGTATGAAATATCCAAGGTTTTCATTCTTTAAAGAAAAAATCTCGAGATTTACTCTTTTTCATTTTAAAATATAAATATTATTTGTGAAAAGATGGAAAT